TGTAGGACCCAGTTCAAGCATCCCTTCTCTGCAAAGTCCTTTCTAAGTCTCCATAGGGAGTTAATACCTCCACTCTGTTACTTTTACAACATTGCTACTCAGTGCTTAAATTGTACTTTTGTTTTTATGTCTCCCTCACTAGACCAAGAGTTCATGAAGGCAGGGATCAAGCTTGATTCATCTCAGCTCCTAGCACCGTTCTTTGAACAGAAAGTAAATATTTATTGAATAAATAAAATGATCCCAATCCTCCTTCCAATGTCCCTTCCTTGCCTAGCTTGGAGATTCATCAAGAACATGAATCTGACAACCAATATGTTGAGTTGTGGGACTCTCATCAAGAGTTTATATACAAATATGGTTTGTCTTTCAGGAAACCTGCAAGTTTTTCTATAGGATCTTCTTATATAGATTTATATGGGCAATTGTGGTTAACAGCTGACCAGAGGTTACTACGACTAGCCTCTCTGGCTATGTACTGATTTGGGTGATCAGGCTCTGGTGGTGGCAGATACAATAGCAGGACTCAACAACAAATGTGGTAAGAAGCTTGGGCTTAGGGGTTATAAAGCACAGTGTAGACAGAGGATGCTGCAGAGGATACTAGTAGTTCCTGAAGGTAAATATTCACTACTATAATAAGATCAGCATGGACAATGATTGAAACAGACAGACCAGACTTGATTACAACCAGCCAACTTGTTTTGATCTTCTGTCATTCCAAAGAACGGAATGTGCTCATTTATCACAAAATGAAAGAGAAAATAAGTATGTTTTTTATTTTTTCAAAAACACAAAAAAGATACTACCGATATCTTTAGACTTTGGAAAAATAAGAATTCACATATAAGATAAATCCACATAGTCACATGAATTATAGGACAGGCTTGTTTCTTTTAAGTGTTGTAAACAAAAAACAATTAAGAGACCTTGCCTTCACTGAGTATTTCCAGTGATGAGAAATCCATAATTAATTTCACATGAATTACCAATACATTCACTGAAAGCTTGACAAAGCTTCTGCCCTCCAGGTGTACATTCCCCTGAGAACAGGATCCTACCTGTTGCTGCACATGACCTGTGTACTGTTCAATGAACTCAGTGAAGCGAATATAGTCTGTGCCAAGCCGGCAGAGTCGATTCAGGACGCTGGTCTCACTGGGGTGGAGAAATGGGAAGTCCTGAGATACCTATAGGAAGACAGACAATGCCAAAAACATCAATGCCTGCTAGTCATTGCTCCATGCATGGTCATTGGGGTGCTTCAAATGCTTCATACTATGTATTTTCCTTTCTCAAGATGTCCACTTAAGGTTGGTAAGTTCTAGGTAGCAAAGGTATTTACAAACTACTACAAAGGTGTTCCCCATCCCTTACCTAATTATCTGCTTCTTGCAATAGGTAACACAAGGTAAACAACTCAAACAATACAAAATGGTGTACATTTAAAATAACTCAACCTAGCTGGGCTCAGTGGCTCAGCCTGTAATCCCGCGCCTTTGGGAGGCTGAGGTGAGTGGATTGCCTGAGCCCGCGGGTTCGAGACCCGCCTGGACAACTTGGTGAGACCTCATCTCTACAATAAATCAAAATGAGCCGGGCGTGGTAGTGCGCACCTGTAGTTCCAGCTACTTGGAAGGCTGAGAAGGATGGCCAGAGCCCAGCAGGTCGAGGCTGCGGTGGCTGGGAGCAGCCACTGCACTCCAGTCTGGGTGACAGAGTGAGACTCCAACTCAAATAAATAAATAAATAAAATTAAATAAAATAACTCAACTTTCCCAGAGGTAGCCAGTATGTGTTACCAGTTTCTTATGCACTCTTTCAGGTATGGCCTGTAAGGAGATTGGGGTTTTGAGCATTATTGCTCAAACGGGTCTGTACACTCCAGGGGGTTCTCAGACATATTCTTAGAATTTACAAATTCTCTATGAATTTTTAAATTTGGTTTTCATTCCAGTAAAACCTTAAAATTTATGTAAGCACACTATAATCTGTAAAAGTATCTTATAACTGGCCATACACATTTAGTGTCTATATTTGCATTTGTATTTTTTATTTAAAGATGTGGTCACAAAAAGTTTTTTAGAAGAAGTGACTTTAAAGCTGAGACCTTAAGGATGAAAAGGAAGAAAATACCTGATTAAGACTTTTTCATAAGAAAGAAAGGGAAAAGATGAATTACTTGTGGCTCTCTGTCCCATCCTCCTCCCCAGCTATCTTTCCCAAACTATGTTATCTTTCTACTTCAGTCAAGCACCCACCAACTTCCTCAACATTTTTCTCCTAAATTCCTGGCGTTGTGCTAAGTTCTCCAGGGTAAAAGTGAAACACCAACTCAGTCTTCCAAGACCTATATGAGAAAATTAACAATTCAAACATCACCTCACATTTTTTTCAACTAAACTCCCAAACCTGAAATATACATTCATAAATAATAATAAGCAGGGCTGGGCTTGGTGGCTCAGCCTATAATCCCAGCACTTTGGGAGGCCAAGATGAGTGGATTGCCTGAGCCTGCGGGTTCGAGACCCACCTGGGCAACTTGGCGAGAGCTCTCTCTACAATAAATCAAAAATTAGCCGAGTGTGGTAGCGCACGCCTGTAGTTCTGACTACTTGGAAGGCTGAGGTGGAAGGATTGCTGGAGCCCAACAGGTCGAGGCTGTGGTGGCCGGGAGAGTGCTACTGCACTCCAGTCTGGGCGACTGAGTTAGACTCCAACTCAAAAAATAAAAATAAATAAATGATGGGTTTTAGAGACGAAGACTGTACTTTTTCTGCTTTTTCACAGTCAATAATGCCAATTCTCCTAGAATAGGCATGGCTTTGTGATCAGAAAGACCAAGATTCTAATCTTGCTACTAGCCAACACGACGAACCAGCATAAAGTTCTCTGAGCTTTAGTTTGCTCATTTGTAAACTGGCACTAGTAATATCTAAGTTACTAAGTTATTGACAGCATTAGACAATATTACTGGAAGCAGAAGTAGGTAAGAGTAGTTCAGATACTGCAGCCAGACTTGAGTTCAAAACTAAGCTCTGCTAATTACTAGCTGTGTGACCTCAGTAGTTATTTAACATTCTTGACCTGGGTTAATCTGTAAAATGGACATAGATGGTTATGAAGATTAAATGAGGCAATGCACAAGCACAATACATAGTGAACAGTCCTCCTTCCTCACACATTCCTAGTTACACGAAGGCCTCCTACTAAGTTCTTCACCTAGCGCAGAAATTTCCCGGGAAAGGAGTAATGAGGGAAACACCACACGCTCTTGAGTTCATTTTTTTCATTCAACAACGTTTATTGAGCGCTTCTTACTGTTAGGGCGTTGTGTATTTGGACCAGTCTTCAAAACTCAGTTTAAAACGGTATGCATGCGTGAAAATGCCTCACATTTTTATGTCGTTCCGCAGCAACTGTCCCTGACACCTCGACCTTAGGTCCTGTCCTCGCCCGGCGGGAAAGGCGGGGCCCTTCGAGGTCCGCCCTCCATTTTCCAGCCTGGGCCCAGCCGTCTCGAAGTGTTTACATCAGTCTTAGTCCCCTAAGACACAGTCCTCCAGTCATCCGCCCGAGGACACGCCCCATCCCATACAAGCCCCCGGTCCCTCAGACTCCGGTCCCTCAGACTCCTCTCCTAGGCACTGGTTCAGGTCTGCGATTCTGGGCTCCCTCGTTCCCGCGCTCTGAGCCGGACGATACCTGCAGGCCGCTCCGCTTGTTCCAGGTGAAAATGGACCCTGGATACCCGCTCAGAGCCAAGAGCAGTTCGTGGATCATTCCCACGGCGGACCTCGAATTCCCAGATACGTCACCCCCCTCCTAGAGCCCCTCCAGGCTCACGGGGACAAGTGCTCCCCCTTCAACACGCGCACAGGCTCCTGGGTCGGGCGGTTAATCCTGAGTCAACCCGTCGAGACAATCGCCACGGGAAGAGCGGACGGGAAGCGGGCAGGGGTCGCGAACCGAGTCCCGGAAGTGCGCCCGCTAGGCTGGTCCCACCCGCGGGCTCCCACCGCAGCTACGCTGAGATGGAGTTGCCGTAGCTGCTCTCGCGCATGCGCCCTCGGTGCCCCAGGAGCCCGTTCAGACTTCCGGTTTGGGAGCTGGACTGGGCGGCTGGAGAACCAGGCTTGGGGCCGGACCCCGAGTGAGTGAGACTGGCCCGGGGCAGGGATGCGAGTGGGTTGAGGGACAGCTTGAGAGGGTGACGCTCCCAAGAGAGGGCCGGAGGGTGCCCTTAGGGCGTCTTAGCCCGGTCAGAGGCCTCTGGAGGGACTGCACGACGGCCCCGAGACTGACCCGACTGGAGGGAGCGGAGACAAAGAGGCCGGAACCCCGCACCCGCCGCCCCCGGAGCTGAGCCTGCGTCCGCCTACTGGCAGCACTCGGAGCCTCTGGCCAGCGCCTCAACTCGTCCTCAGGAAACCCATTACTACTGCCTCTCCGACTTCCTCTCTCCAACTTAGTGTGACTCTCCCCAAGCCCATCCGGTCCTCGCTTCAGGAGGCAAGACCAACTTCTCCCCAGGCGCGAGGTTTCCCGTCAGTGGCTCCCGAACCCATGCCGAGTGCTCACCTCCTCTGTGAGGGGAAAACAAAGACACGATATTCAGGACTTGATGTTTGTCTGGGGTGAGAATTGCTAGTTGTGGAGTCCAAGGGGGCGGGGCGGACGCAGAGGCCGCAGGAAGGACTGCGGTGGTGCTGGGGGAGATCAGCTCAGCTGCGGCCAGTTGGACAGAGGCTTTTGTTGCTTTCAGCAGGATGGGGACTTGCCTTCACATCCTCTCGAGCTCCGGGTCTCCTATGTGGTTCGAACTCGCTGCAGCATTGGTCAGGGAAGTTAAACGGGATCGGATTTGGGGGAGGTGGGAGAGGAACAGACAGTTCTTTCATTCTCTGCTGCTTCTTGGGGCTGCGCTGGAAGTCGCCCAGAAGTGCAGCTTTTGAAAGGTCTTTCCCCTCCATGCTCAGTGCTGACTTGCTGCCCTGAAGATGGTGCTACCTCAGATGGCCACTTGGAGCATATGGGAAGTCAGGCCAGCTCTGGCAAGATGTTAGACATATGAATGTATTCCTTCTGATAGTGCCATCTCTCTCTACCCTAGGAAGAAACTCCTCTTACAGAGAGAGACTCATCTGCAGGTGATTCTCCAAGGACATGGGAAGATAGGTATAAGCCCTGGAACCCAAATCCTTAAGTGGAGGGAATCTGCTTCCTGCTGTGAATGATGGCCAAACCCACTCTGAGAGGGAATGGCACTAACTCTGAGGCTTTCCGACAGCGTTTCAGAAGATTCCATTACCAGGAGGTGGCTGGGCCACGGGAAGCTTTCAGCCAACTCTGGGAACTTTGCTGTCGGTGGCTAAGGCCGGAGGTGCGCACCAAGGAACAGATTGTAGAATTGTTGGTGCTAGAGCAGTTCCTGACCGTCTTACCTGGGGAGATCCAGAATTGGGTACAGGAGCAATGTCCAGAAAGTGGAGAGGAGGCAGTGACTATGGTGGAAGATTTAGAAAGAGAGCCTGGAAGACCTGGATATTCGGTGAGAAGGGAGGGGGAATTCAGAAGTGTGAGATTGGGACGGGGTAAGGGTAGAGGGCAGATTAATATATAGACAGGTTTTTTAAAGGGCACAGTCTTCCTTGGTGATGCTTATATTTCTGGTGAACAGGTAACTTTTTCAGATAGTGCTTGTCTGGAGATGCTACCTGGGCATAACTTTGCCTACCCTGTCATAATGAGTTTTTCCTAGTTTCACAGTTTCTTAGTCAATAGAGAAGACGGGGGGGAAAACTTTTTTTTTCTTTTTTTTTGACCTCTAGTTGGGTTTCCTATTTTGATTTTTTCCTTTTGGAGTTTCAACTGCTCTAAGCTAATAGTAATAGTAATGTTCATTTTAACTTCCCCCACCCCTACAACCCTGGCCATGTCGGAGAAAAATGATCTCTTTTGGGATATTAAATAATCTCCTCTGGGAATGCCCCTCATTATGACCTTGCAGTGACAATTAATGGGGGTTGTTTTTAGGTCACAGTCTCTGTGAAGGGGCAGGAAGTACGCTCGGAGAAGATGACACCCCTGAAATCATCACGAGAGTTATTAAGTGTTCGGCAGGAGTCAGTGGAACCCCAGCCCAGGGGTGTATCCAAGAAAGAGAGGGCAAGAAGCCCAGACCTGGGACCACAGGAGCAGATGAACCCAAAGGAGAAGCTCAGACCTTTTCAAAGGAGCGGTGAGGATTAGATTCATGTGGGAAGACAGAGTACCATTCAAAGTTGGGAAGTAGGGTTGGACATAGTGAGTGGGAAAGGGATGTCAGGAGTAAGTGGAAATTGGAGAATATGTGGTTATTAGGGCCCTCCTGAAGACCTGTAGTTTAGCCCCCTGGTATAGTAAGTATTCTTAAATTACCTCTTTTGATAAGGCTGCTAGACAGTGGTTCCCTAGTTTTTGCCAGAACTTTGAACTATTTTATTTCTTCTTGGTAATGATGATGGTAGGTCACTTTTTTCTGGATAACAATTATTTTCCATTCTTTTTTTTTTGAGTTGGAGTTTCACTCTGTTGCCCAGACTAGAGTGCAGTGGCCGCTCCTGGTGATCCTTCTGCCTCAGCCTTCCGAGTAGCTGGAACTATAGGCGTGCACTACCACACCCGGCTTATTTTGATTTATTGTAGAGATGAGGTCTCGCCAAGTTGCCCAGGCGGGTCTAGAACCCACAGGCTCAGGCAATCCACTCACCTCAGCTATTTTTCCATTCTTGAAGGCACATCTTCTTTTTAGTTGTTTTCCTTCTCCAAATTAAACTGTATTTGTTTCTTTAAGCTCCCCTCCACCCCAGAAGATAAATTCCTTAGACCTAAGTTTTGTTATTCTACTTTGGAACTTTTCAAGTACTCCAAATATCATATTAATTGTGGAGAACTAAATTGCATATGTATTATTCTAGTGAAAGTCTGTTAGAGGAAAGCCAATTAAGAATTTTACTTCAGAATTTTGCCATATTTTCTTTCAGTATAGCCCAACTTTTGATTAAATGATTATTTTTAATAATTTGGTAATTCCCAGGATTCTCATAGCTTTTATCATTGCCTTTGTACTTATTTGCTTATTCTTGTACTTGGTTTTGTAGAACTTGTTTTTCTTTTTGGTATTCTATTGACTTCTATATTGTATATTTTTTGATACTTTCATTTCGTTTAAAACTTTTTGAGGTCTAATCTTATTATCCAAGATAATAGCCTTCTCAGCCAGTTTGGTAATGGTCTCTGTTTAGTAATCCAGATGAAATCCCTCAATGAACACCTATCCTGTGCTCAACACTTTGAATGGTACTTTGAAATAAGAAAAGGTGCCTATCCTCAAGTAACTTACATTATACTTGAGAATACAACAGCACACTGTAAGTGTGTCCTGAACTGAACTGTACTGAAACAATGCCAGACAATTATGTGTTGCTCAATTATGTGAGTATTATAGGGGTTTGGCAGAGTGGGAGATGAGGGAGGGCTGCAGGGAAGGCTTCTTAGGGACACTGACAAAACAGCTTTCTAAAGGATGGGTTGAATGTGGATAGAAGGAAAGGAATTAAGGGAAAGGCACAGAGTAGTGAATAAAAGTGTGCTGTGTTCTGGAGAGAAGTCTTATCAGGAATGGACAGTGCATGGTAGGCATTACAGCTAAGGTTCAGCAGGGTAGCATGTGAGCTGAGAAAGCAAGAGCCTGGAGTTAAGTAGAACAGTGACTGTTGTAGTTATCTGAATGTGAAAGGATAAGTGCTCTGGAGTTGGATAGTGGCAGTAAGAATGAGGGGAAAGCACATACTAAAGGAAACACCTTTAGAACTTGGTGACTGAATGTGAAGGAAACAAATGAGTTGAAGACAATCTCCCCTCCTCCTTGAAATCACTCTGAGTTTAATTCTCTAACCCCAAGTGAAAATCTACTGTTTTCAGCAGTGCTATGATCTGCCTGCAGGCGGTCAGGAGGGCTAGTGAGCAACTTGGAATAGAATGATCTGCTCTGAACACACAACAGAACCTTTTCCTCTCTTGTCACCCTGCTCTGGAAAATATTTCTCATCTTTTGAGATTTCTATATTTTCCCCACTTTCTTCAACCCACTGAACTTTTGGAAAACAATTCCCTAGACACTTTCTTTATAATCATCTTGGATAAAAAAGGCAGAACTGAATTCAGATTTTTAAAATTATCAGTCCAAACTATGATACCCTTTGTTTGCTTCTTTGCAAGCAGGATTTCCATTTCCTAAATCCGGTATGGTCTCCAGGTTGGAGCAAGGAGAACCATGGATCCCAGATCTGTTGGGCTCCAAGGAGAAAGAACTCCCAAGTGGCAGCTACATAGGAGACAGACGGATACATGCTGATATGTTACCATCCAAAAGAGAGAGAAGCTGGGTAGAACAGGATCACTGGGGCTTTGAGGATGAGAAGGTGGCAGGTGTACACTGGGGCTATGAAGAGACCAGAACTCTCCTTGCAATTCTCAGCCAGACTGAGTTTTATGAGGCTCTCCGAAACTGTCATCGAAACAGCCAAGTATATGGGGCTGTGGCTGAGCGGCTCCGGGAGTATGGCTTCCTTCGGACCCTGGAACAGTGTCGGACCAAGTTCAAAGGTCTCCAGAAGAGCTATAGGAAAGTCAAGAGTGGCCACCCACCTGAGTCCTGCCCCTTCTTTGAAGAAATGGAAACCCTAATGAGTGCCCAGGTCATTGCCCTGCCCAGTAATAGCCTGGGAGAAACATCCTCTCACTCTGGCCTGATGGGCAGCGATGCTGAGACTGAAGAGCCAGGGCAGGGGGGCTGGCAGCATGAGGAGGAAGCAGAAGAGGCGGTGGTTGAGGAGTCTGACAGTGATGAAGTGGATCCAGAGGCTACCCCCCAGGACCCGGACAACTTGACTGCACCTGTCCTGTTCAGAAGCCCAAGTGGTAAGAAGCTTTTCTTCTGGGAGTTTTGGCAGTAGACTTGGGGAACAATGAGACTGGATGTGCAATCAGGAGGCTTAATGTCACCTGCCAGCTTTGCCACTTTGGGAACAAAGAAGCCCTTCTCAACTCTGTGTGTATTTCATCCTCTTTTGTGGGAAAACAGTGAAATAATAGGGAAAAATTTTAGATTTTTGAAAGAAATACACTCAGAAAGTTCAGAGTCCTGAAAAGGAATATTGTTCCTTCCATTTCATTATTAAAATATTTTTTATTGATTTTTAAATCATTGCAGACTCACTGAGAAAAATTTGGCACTATGTTATCTTTAGGGAGAACTACTGTTTTTTGAGCACCTCATATGAACTAGTGCTTTCCACATTTTATCTTTTACTCCAAGTTTGAAAGTCAGTTTATTATGTATGTATTTTCACTTAGAAACACAGTGAAGAATTGCCTAAAGTTGAGGAAACATTTTTATTTAAAATTTTTATACTTAAAATAGAGACAGATCTTGCTATGTTGCCTAGGGTGGTCTCAAACTCAGCTCAAGTGACCCTCCCACCTCAGCATCTCAAGAAGCTGGGATACATGCTATTGCACTCAGCAGGGAAACATTTATACGTTTCCCCTCTGAGATTCACAATATACATTGGCATTTTAACAGGACTGAGAAGTCCTACAGCTAGAAAGCTTGTTTAATACTCTATATTGAAATATTTTTGCCTATGGAATCCTTTTTAAAGTATCACTTATTATTGTAGATGTAATTTGTTCAACTATGCTGTTATAGAAAGAGCATCAAAGTATGATTCAAGGAGTTCAGATTCTATTCCTGATGACCACTAATCAGGTGGGTGACATTGAGCAGTTATCCAACCATTCTAAGCTTCCATTTCCTCAAATGTAAAATGGTACGTGGTAGGAGGACTACGTCTCTGAAGTTGCAGTTCCTTTCTGAACAGTGATCTTTTTCTTTTTTTTTTTTCCTGAGATAGGGTCTTAACCTGTCACCTATGCTGGAGTGCAGTGGCACAATTATAGTTCACTGCAGCCTCAACCACCTAAGCTCAGGCAATCTTTCCGCCTTAGCCTCCTGAGTAGCTGGGACTACTTGTGCACACCACCATGCCTGGCTGATTTTTTTATTTTTTGTTTTTTATAGAGATGAGGTCTCACTATGTTGTGTAGGCTGGTCTTAAACTCCTGGGCTCAAGCAATCCTTCCACCTCAGCTTCTCAAAATGCTGGGATTACGGGTGTGAGCCACTGTACTCAGTCCCTTCTTTATTGCTATGTGTGATGTTACTTTAGTTATATTCTAGCCTTCTTGTCTTCCTGTCTTCTACTTTTCCCTTTCTCTTTTTTCTTCTCTTTTCTTCATTCTTTCTTTGTTCTTTATCACTGATGTACAGTTGATGCCCCAAAAATGTATACACATTTTAAGAGAGGAAAAAACTGTATTAAAATTGTAATAATATATACTGATAACAAAAGATGACTATAAGTCACATTTGACTTCTGCAATTACAAGAGATGCTCAAAGTGGTAACCATCAGCGTCCAGAACTTCTGATTATGGCAAACTAAAAGTAAAACATAGATAACATCGCTTAAAATATGCATTTTTTTGGTACCCCAAATGTAGGTTAATCATAAACATGGCATATGTGCTAAAATGCTATTATTTTCATTATCTTTGTTCATCCCTCCCCATTGCTTTTTCTGGTCTTCATATTCTCCTTTACTCACAGTGAGTGAGGCTAATGGAAGAAATGTAACCTCTGCTGGTTCTCAGGTGGGAGGAAGTCTCTTTGAACTCCTCTCTTTCTCTCTACCTTCAGGGAGTAGAGACGATAATCATCCTGATACCACTTTCTTGAGAATACCACCCAAGTGGAAGACCTGCCCCACTAGCATGTGTTCAGGCCAGAAGATACTGTTTGCTTTTGCTTCTTTCTTCGTTCTGGCTTCTGCCAGTCCTTCACCTCTTAAAGATAAGGTGCATAACTATAAGGCCCTTATCTTGTACCCTTCAGGTCTTTACTATTGTTGGACTTGAGACTGTGGCAAGTAAAGAAGGGCCAAAATAGGGATTAGGCAGCACTGATTCTGAAAGAGGCAATTCCTTGGGGTTTTAAATCAACCTTTGGGAAAATGAATTAATAAGGAAGTAGGACTAGTGGGAAAAGAATGATCAGAAAGTTAGGGATGACTTGTGGCTCACAGCAATTATATTTGGGTCTTCTTCCCTAACCAATGAGTTTATAGTTAGGTTCAGAATTCCAGAAAAATGACTAGAAGGATGAGGACATGCATTCTATGTATTTGCCTCAGTGTACATGATGATTATTTCAGTGATCAGGTAGAAAGGCTCTTAAGTGTTAATATGTTTAGCCATATAAAAAATTATATGGCTAAACAGAATTTGTGAATAAAGGTCTCTGTGAAATTGCTAAATACTATGGAGAAGCAAAACATTCTATAATGAGTTTGTATACACTTTGGAAACATGAAGTTTTTTTATTATTATTTTTCTGAGTCAGGGTCTCACTCTGATACCCAGGCTGGAGTGCAGTTGCAGATCACGGCTGTTGTAGCCTTAACCTTCTGGGCTCAGACAATCCTTCCACCTCAACTTCCTGAGTAGCTAGGACTACAGGTGCACACTACCACACCCAGCTAATTTTACTTACCATAGTGATGAGGTCTCGTTATGTCACCCAGGCTGGTCTTGAAGCCCTGGGCTCAGGCAGTCCTCTCACCTTCACCTCCCAAAGTACTGGGATTATAGGCATGAGCCACTGTGCTTGGCTAAGTTTTTGTTTTGTCGTTGGTTTTTTTATTTTTTCGATTAAAAAAATATAGTTTATTTAAAAGTAAATTAGAGAAAGAGAAGGGAGAGAGAAGGTTCATCTTCCTAAGGTGGGGGAGGGAACCAAAGCCAGGAAGCATGACAACAGCCATAGCTCAAAGAGCACATGGCCACACCAGAATCTAGCAAGGTAATAGCCCTGTTTTTTTGTTTTGTTTTGTTTTTTGAGTCTTGTTCTTACTCTGTCACTCAGACTTGGAGTGAAGTGGCACAATCACGGCTCACCGCAGCCTTGACCTCATGGACTCAGGCAATCCTTCTGCTTCAGCCTCCTGAGTAGCTGGGACTACAGGCACGTGCATGCCCAGCTAATTTTTTTTTTTTTTTTGAGACAAGGTTTTGCCATGTTGCTTAGGCCAGTCTCAAACTCCGGAGCTCAAACAGTTGTCTGGCCTCAGACTCCCAGAGTGCTGGGATTACCATGTCTGGTGTTGGAAACAAGAGGTATTTTTAAGTTTTCACCGAGGTACTCAAGCTTATGTGAATTTTTATGATGCAGTTGATAGGACTGAGAGATTAAGGCTGTAAAGCTCTGGATTAACTAGGACTGAAATTTTTCTTCTGGTGGCAGGTGTACACTGGGGCTATGAAGAGACCAAGACTTACCTTGCAATTCTTAGTGAGACTCAGTTTTACGAAGCCCTCCGGAACTGTCACCGCAACAGCCAGCTGTATGGAGCAGTGGCTGAGAGGTTATGGGAATATGGCTTCCTTAGGACCCCAGAGCAGTGTCGGACCAAGTTTAAAAGCTTACAAACCAGCTATCGGAAAGTCAAGAATGGCCAAGCACCAGAGACCTGTCCCTTCTTTGAAGAGATGGATGCTTTGGTGAGTACGCGGGTTGCTGCCCTACCCAGTGATGGTCAGGAAGAGACAGCTTCTTCCCCCATCCAGGAGACCCATGAGGCCAAAGCTGAGAAGCAAGCTGAGGAGCCAGAAGAGCCCTTAGAGGAAGATTCTGATGATGATGATGAAGAGGATACTGAGATACCCCCAGGGGCTGTCATAACCCGTGCTCCAGTCTTATTCCACAGTCCAAGTGGTAAGATTCTTTCATTTCTTATGGTATAAATAGCAAAGGAAGGACAATGGCATTTAGAAGAAAAATCATCAGATTGAGAATTGGCCTCTTAACCTAGTTCTCATGGATTCTTATGACCACTCATGTTTCCTGTCTATTAAAGCAGCTCAGTTAGGGGTTATAAAAAAATATTCAGGACTCCTCACACTAGAGCATCAATCTGAGATAGTTGCAAACTTTGTAAATTTACTGTCATCTATGCATGAACTGCTAGGTTTCCAGCCACTTTACCATAGTGAAGAATATGAAAACTAACATTTCCCAAGTAGTATGTCATGTACCCATAGTAGGATAAATTTCATTTTAAAAGTTCATTCTCATTTATGTTTCTCTTCTAGTGTCAGCTTGTATACCACCTGTATGTCTTCTTTATTCACATATATGAAAACCTGATAACTCTTCTTCAGACACACTTGCAAAAGTCTGAGGTTTCCGGGGGAACTGCTGTATAAGAAAAAAAAAATACTTCACAGTGGGCTTCCCTCCTTGTGGAAAGAATTCTGATTTTGGAATCATACATGTATATGTATGTAAATCTGGGTTCTGCTGTTTATTAGTGGAGTGACATAAAGCAAATTACTTAGCCCCCAGGTTTGCTTGTATATTAAAACCTACCTCATAAGGTTGGTGTAAATGAAGTATTGTGGTGAAGCACCTAGCACAGTACCTGACACATAATATTCAGTAAAAAATAGTTTTCATTTCCATAAGTCCTTTAGATCAGCTTTTTTTTTTTTTAAACTAGGCCTCACTCTGTTTTGCAGGCTAGAGTGCAGTAGTGTGATTATAGCTAATTGTAATATCAAACTCCTGGCCCCAAGCGATCCTCCCCTCTCAGTCTCCCTAGTAGTTAGGACTATTAGGACTACAGGTGTGTGCCACCATTCTAATTTAAAAACAAAAATTTTTTTGTAGATCTCATGTTGCTCAGGCTGGTTTTGAACTCCTGGCCTCAAGTGATCCTCCTGCCTTGGCCTCTCAAAGGGTAGGGTCAGCATTCTTTAAGTGTGTTCCATGGAACATCAATCCCATGGGGTACTAATATATTCTGCTGGCTTGGAATATATTCTACTGGCTCACTCCTATAATCCTAGCACTTTGGGAGGCCGAGGTGAGAGAATTGCCTGAGTCCATAGGTTCAAGATCAACCCAGACAACTTGGTGAGACTTCATCTCTACAATAAATTTTAAAAATTAGACAGCTGTGGTGGCACGTGCCTATAGTTCCAGCAACTTGGAAGGCTGAGGTGGAAGGATTGCCTGAGCCCAGCAGGTCAAGGCTGCGGTGGCCATGAGTGTGCCACTACACTCCAGCCTAGGTGACAGAGTGAGACTCCAACTCAAAAAAAAGCAAAAAAATTCTACTGAAAAATGACTTCTAAGTTTGAAAATGCTGAATATCCCTCTTGAAGGCTCACAATACATGTTCATATATTTAAGGTTCTGAGATTTTACTTAATCTTATTGAATATTTCGTGGAACATCTCCTAAGATTAGACTTCTGAGTGGAAATGCTGCTACAAGGGGTACATTCACAGGCTAACGCTGAACATGCTTTTGCTTTTAGATTTAGTCCAGGGAGTTTAGAATCTCGAGTTTACCTGAAATATCTGAGTAAGTGCAAGTTCTCATAGACTAGGCCCAAAGAAGCCAGACACTTGGCTCTTAAGTCCTTTTATTCTTTGAAAGACACTTAAGTATTTTTCTACTGTGTTTTTATTTTCCACATATATTGGAATGTGAGGGGGAGGGAAACACATGAAACTCTTTTTGGATGTAAAAGTTTCCCAAGATGTTTTCCTGGGCATTCCTTCTAATTCCTTTAGTTACTGGCAAAGAACATGAAAAGTAATACCATAATAGATCTGAGATGTGGTAAAAATATACCATTAGAATGTGTCTTTCTTGTATAAACATGGAGACAGTCTTATCTGTAACCTGGTAAATTTGCCTTGCAATACTGAGAAGATTTTCTGAATATCCTGGGTAACCAAGAAGAGTTAAAAGAATATATTAGCCGGGCTCGGTGGCTCAGCCTGTAATCCCGCGCCTTTGGGAGGCTGAGGTGAGTGGATTGCCTGAGCCCCGCGGGTTCGAGACCCGCCTGGGCAGTGAGACCTCATCTCTACAATAAATCAAAAAATCAGCTGGGCGTGGTAGCACATGCCTGTAATTCTGGCTACTTGGAAGGCTGAGGCGGAAGGATCGCCAGAGCCCAGCAGGTCGAGGCTGTGGTGGCTGGGAGCAGCCACTGCACTCCAGTCTGGGCGACAGAGTGAGACTCCAACTCAAAAAAAAAAGAATATATTAGCCAAACCCTATGTAGATAAGAAGCACATGATAGGTTACAAGTAGAGAAGTAAAACATTGGAATTTTAATAGTAGTAGTTATTTGGGATCTAGAACTCCATAGTTTTTATCTTTAATCATCTGATATAATACTTGTTTTTCCCAGTTTTATATTGTCTGGCACATATAATTAAGGGTAGATAACTTTTAAAATTATATTCTTATATTAGGTTTTGAGGCTGGACTTGAAAATGAAGAGAATTCAAAGCGAGATATTTCAGAGGAAGTACAACTGCATAGGACATTACTTGCAAGATCTGAAAGGAAAGTTTCTCGCCGTCTTAATCAAGATAAAGGCAATGAGAGTGAATGTAGATCAGGAAGACAGTGGGGTAAAAACCCAGAGGAAAAAAGAGGAAAACTGACACTTCCAGAGAAGAGTTTAAGTAAAGTCCTAAGTCATCAGAGACCTTGCTTAGCAGAGAGACCCTATAAATATGACAGATATGGCAAAAGCTTTGGTCAAAACTCCCTTCTCATGCATCAGATATCCCACCAGGTGGAAAATCCATATAAATGCGCAGATTGTGGGAAAAGCTTCAGTCGGAGTGCACGCCTCATTAGACACCGGAGGATCCACACTGGAGAAAAACCTTATAAGTGTCTTGACTGTGGAAAAAGTTTCCGTGACAGTTCAAATTTTATCACTCATAGGAGAATCCACACAGGAGAGAAACCTTATCAATGTGGTGAGTGTGGGAAACGCTTCAATCAGAGCTCAAGCCTTATAATTCACCAGAGGACCCACACAGGAGAAAAGCCCTATCAGTGTGAAGAGTGTGGAAAAAGCTTCAATAATAGTTCCCATTTTAGTGCACATCGGAGAATACACACAGGAGAGAGACCCCATGTGTGTCCTGACTGTGGAAAGAGTTTCAGTAAGAGTTCTGACTTACGTGCACATCATAGAACCCACACAGGAGAAAAACCATATGGGTGTCATGATTGTGGCAAATGCTTCAGTAAAAGCTCTGCCCTTAATAAGCACCGAGAAATCCATGCACGAGAAAAGCTTCTGTCACATTCAGCAGCTAAGTTAAACCCCTGAGAATATATACAAGAGCCTCAACAAATAATGTGTATTGTTTGAAAGTCTCCCAGCAGTGCAATCCATCTCCTATTCTGTGCCCAACTAGCTTAGATGCCCTTGTTTGGTCCTTCTGTTTTTTCTGAAAAAGTTTGAAAGAGTCAAACCCAAGGCAGTCATCTAAAGAATGAAAGGAAGATTTCATTTCCTCTCTTGCCTGCATCTGAATTGATGGATAACATCTTCTCCCTCTCAGGGCCTATGATGTCCCCTTAGTAAGGTAGAGAGAATATGGTAGTAGATCCTATGAATTTGATACATATGCTTCTTTACTCATCTTGTCATTCAGCTGCATTTTGACTGGAAAAACCCACCACAGCATTTCAGGAAGAATTTGTGAGACAGTTTATTAAGTGTGTTTAGCTCTTCATTATATAATAATGGAAATATTAAAAAGAATGACTCTTCCTGCTCACGAAGCTCATGCTCAAAAGAACATATTTGTCAGGCATACTCTTCATTTACTTCAAAGAAGGAGAGTTCAATATCCATCTTGGTTCTTTCCTATGAATCACCTTTTGTCACCTTAGGTGTTCTATATTTGAAAAGCTTATACAAATACTGAAGTGTGAAGCCTGAATTTCTTAGTTTCTTCTAATTCCTAAAAGGGTTGGACTAGAATACTACTACATTTACAGGATCTAGTTTTTCCTTCTGTACAGTCTCATCTGAGTTTCATATGTCTCTGGTGGCCCAGAAGCCCAAAGAACAAGCAAGCTGGATTTAATGATGGTGAAAGAAGCTGCCAGTAAGGAATTGTCCATATTCTACACACTTCAAACATCTAGTAGTGTTATGCTCCCCCCCACCCATGGGCTCTCAGTACTAACCTGCAGTTAGCAGAAGCCACTACCACATTCCTGTGTATTGGGAAAACAGATTATTTTGTGCCAAAAACCCTTTACCTTAAGGGTAGGGAAGATAGACTATCTTTTGTCAGAGGAGCTGCCAGTTTACACACACACATTATACAATTAAAAGCAGCTCTTCAAACACACATGTAATTGCTGATTTTTATAATTAAATAGTATAGAGTTAATTGCCCATATGTTCATAGTAGTATCATAAGCCCTGTACAGCACAAGTTAAACAGATCCTGTCCTTGTCCTTACAATCTAAAATAGATGACACTGACATAGACAAATAAGTGCAGTGCATAATTCAATGGTTTTAGAGGAATCTAGAAAACTAGATAGTAACACTATGCATAAATGTTATGGTCCAATGCATTAGAGTTTGCTATAGGAAAATCTGTGAGGTGTTTTCTTCTCTTTATTCAGGAATGCTTCAGGAAGCAGGAAGTGTTAAAAGGAGAGAAGGTTACTGGGTAAGGCAGAATGGGAAGAAATTTCAAAAACAAGTTGCAACATTGAATGTTGGGTGGCTTGAAGAATGGGAAAATGGGGGAGCACAGTGTTTTGTGTAGATGAAGCGAAATGCAAATGATAGACTATAAGGAAGGTTAGATAAAACTTGGAGCAGCACAGAACTTGAGGAATAGTAGGATATTGGGCTGTGCAGTAGGTACAGAGAATCACCTTAGCTGAAAAACATGGCATGCCAGAGGCAGACCACGAGATGACACACCCATCATCTATAGTAAATCAGTTACTGTGCTGTATCTGTTGATAAGCAAACAACTGGCTGGCACTGGGGGGAAAATGAGCAGTTTTAGGGGACTAGCTTCTGTGGGAGACAAAAATCAAAAACTAGTATCTGTTGAAGATACTTTGATGGACAGGTAAGAGGAAAGATAAGCATGACCAGATGGCCAGGCCTGGGATAAGTGGCTGTTTCACATTCTTATTTCATTAGAACCCTGTGGCTGGAATAAGGTCTAGGAGAGCAGTAGGGAGATATAATATTCTGTAATTCACAGATTACTCTGTTAGATGAGAGATTAAGGTTCTGGTGTCAAGGGATCCCCATACAAAAAAAATCTAATATTTATTGGGAATTAAGGGAAGATGGTATCTCCGGAAGTTACAGTTAACACCAGTCTACAGCAGTGCCTCAGGATCTGAGATGGTTTAGGAAGTATGCTGTAATGGCAAAAAAAAAAAATTACTGTCTTTAGTATATTTATGTATATAGTCTTGAGGGAAAAGCATTGGTTGGGGTGTCAACAGATATGAATTCTGGTTTCAGATATCTTATGTGTAAGTCAACCTGCCACCATTTCCCTTTCTGTAAAGCAGAATAGTGTTTACACCTAATCTGCCTCTCAGGGATACCATGTTAATAAAATTGTCTATAAAGTACCTGGTGTTTCCTCAGGTGTTTTATATATATGTATGAAAATTATGATGAAGTTGTTGATGGTAGGCAAAGACAAATCTTTACCTTTTATTTTTCTTTTTGGCCGTGTGTGGGGTTACTGGAAGTATGCCTGTCTGAATCTTCATATTCTAGGCAGAGGAACAAGTCAGAATGTAGTAAAAGAGAAACTAGAATAAAACCCTTCCTTAGTATCTATATCATATGCATAGTCCATTAGGACCTATGATAACGAGACATGGAGAGTGACTCTTATTTTAAGACTCAGGACCAACCCTCCAACCTCCAGATGAAAACAATGAAAGGAATAGGCAAACTTTCTTACCAGGTGAATATCCAGTTCATCGCGAACTAGCTCACAAACCATTAAATGCTGCCCAACCTGCCATTCCTGAGGATGGAAGAAGCATGAAATAATCATCTTTAGGTATTCTAAAGAAGAGAAACCAAGTCCACTGTTAGGGTAGCAAAAGCATCTATGCACTCCTAACTTTTTAATATCAATAAAGCCTTTGTGGAAGAGATAGGGTGGCATGTGCAGCAAAAGAAGCAAAAAATACATGTATTACCAGAAGCTAGATAGTCCTATCTTCATCAGTTGTTTCTTAGTGCTGTTATTTCTCTATTTTACCCATACTGTCATTCTTCCTTTTATTGTTTGTTCTCTGTGGCTGATGTCATAGAACTTAACATTTACGTGTATTCTTTGTCTTGCTGCCATTTCTCAATGTAATCTGAGTATAGAGGCTGAGTCTTGTCAACTTTGTATAGCACTGTTTTTATGGTGAACAAGTAAGGAAGGGAGATAAGGTAAGATTGTAAAGATGGATCAGTTCTCTCCCCATTCTTCAATTCAAAATCTAAAAGACTTTATTCCTATACACAAAAATAGCTATGCAATGGCATATACATCTCAAAGTTATGGCATATACATCTCAAAGTTTTGGCATATAAAATGTCATAGAGTATTCTTTGAAACCATGGTGTTTAAAGTAACGTGTGTGTGTGTGTGTTAGAAGCTTAAATTTTTTTTTCTTTTTCAAAGTATCTTTGTTCCCAGGGGAATTCAGTTCAACCTGTGTAACTCAATAGACACATTAAGGAGGTAATTTTGAAGTCTTCCATGAATAGCTCCTCAAACTATCTAAGTAGAGTTAATTCACAAATTTATTGACACCTTCCCTAAATACAGAAACCAAAGAACATTCACCTCATTCTACACAGAGAGGGCTATATCTAATAACTCATGCTGTGAGCTGAATATTTAGGTCTCCCAAATCTCTGGTTGCCCAAAGTTTGAGAGTTTTTAACAGATAAAGAGAAAGCAACATTTAAGCTACTGGGCAAAGTTCTAGTAAGCTTAGCGGTCTTGATGTGGAACTAGTATAGGCAAACATTCTGGGCGGTTGCACAACTCTTCATCTCTGTGTTCATTTAATATACAGATAAGACACAAGCTATATATGCTCTTAGCAACAAAGAGTGCAGAAGTAGCAGCTACAGTGGTGATCAGGTAAGTTTGGAATAAGATATACGCACAGGGTTACCTGGTACTGGTATAGGATAGGCATATTTTTCAAAATGCTAGATCACTGAAGGAATCTAGAAAATAAGGTTTCAGAGGGTATAGTCCAATCTATATATACTATATACAGTTTTTGTTTTTTAACTATTAATATAATTTTAAACTTGCAGGAAAAGTTACAAGAGATACAAGGAAGTCCTGTATACCTAGATACTCCAATTAATATTTTGCCTATTTGCTATCTTGTATATATGTGTATGTGTGTGGCTAAGGTGAGAGGATTGCCTGAGCCCAAGGATTCAAGACCAGCCTAGGCAACATGGCAAGACCTTGTCTCTACAATAAATAAATAAATTAGCCAGGCATGATGGCACACACCTGCAGTTCCAGTTACTAGGAAGCCTGAAGCGGAAGAATCACCTGAGTCCAGCAGGTTGAGGCTGTGTTAGCTGTAGGGTGCCACTGTCTCCAGCCTGGGCGACAGCATGAGACTGCGACTCAAAAAAAAAAAAAATGAAGACCACGGACATTCTCTTAAATAACCACATTATAATTATCAAAATTAGGAAATTTTAAATGGAAAAAGTATCAGGAGGTACATAATGTTTGTGCCAATATCGAGGACATTAACTTTATCCCTTGACTGTGGCCAGGTTTCTTAAGTTTTTCCCCTCTATCATAATATGCAGGGAGTACTTTGAAACAATGTAAATATCCTGTTTTTCCTTAAACTTTCTTTCACCCACTAGTTTTAGCAGCCACTAAATTTTCTAACCTCATCATTCTTTCAGTATATACTAGTTGAGAGTCTACTGTAAGGAAAAGCTTTCTGTTTTTCCCGTCTATTTTTATTTGTATGAACTCATGGATTCTTATTTCAACGAGTTAAAAAAATCTATAACTATAATTCATTTTGATGTTCAAATTGTCCCAAATTTGGCTTGTAGGACCCTTTCAAATCTTCTCTTGTTTTCTTTTGTCCTTTGTGCACCTCCTTATTTTCTGATGCAGCAAGATGCTCCAGGCTCATTTTATACTTTTTCTGCTCTAGCCTTTGAATCATGCTTTTTTCAATTGATTTCTGTATACTGATCTCATATCCTGTGACACTGCTAATTCACTTTTCTTTTCTTTATAGCTTATTTAAAACTAAATTAGAAAGAGAGAGAGAGAGGAGATTCACCTCCCCAAGGTAGGGGAGGGGGCCAAAGCCAGGAAAGATGGCTTGGCCATAGTTCAAGAGCACATGGCTACCCATAGCTTAGCAAGGCAATGGCCTTTTTTTTTTTTTTTTTTGGTTCTAGTAGTTGTTTGTAGTTTCCTTAGAACTTTTTATATGAATAATCATACTATCTGTGAATAGAGATGTAGTTCTTCCTTCTTCCTCACTAATCTTTCTGCCTTTTATTTCTTTTTCTTGCCTTATTGTACTGATTAGGATCTCTAGTACAGTAATAAAGAGTAGTGGTTAGAGCAAATATCCTTTACTTGTTACCAGTCTTGGGGAAAAACATTCAATATCTCACCGTTAAATTTTATGTTAGTTGCAGTTTTTCATAAATGCTCTTTATCAGCCAATCTGCATATTTTAAGTGCCAGAATCTCAAACAGGAAAACTTATGCCCTCCTCACCACTACTTAAGGATAGGATGAGTTTTATAGTATGACAAGAAATTTATGATAAAGTTAATACATTAAAATCACTCATCTCACTAGCTTTTATATAAATATCAAACAAAAAATAGACTACAAAATTGTTTATAAGGCCAAGTGCAGTGGCTCACGTCTGTAATCCCAGCACTTTGGGAGGCTGAGGTGGGAGAACTGCTTGAGCCCAGAAGTTCAAGGCCAGCCTGGGCAATATAGTAAGATAACATCTCTACAAAAAGTACAAAAATTAGCTGAGCATGGTGGCGTGCACCTGTAGTACCAGCTACTCGGGAGGCTAAGGTAGAAGGATCACCTGAGCCCAGGAGCTTGATGCTGTGGTTGAGCAGGGATCACACCACTGCAACTCCAGCCTGTGCAACACAGTAAGACCCTATCTCAAAAAAAAAAAAAAAAAACTATAACCACATTTTTTTCACTGATTATATCACAAACACTTTTATGTCATTAAATTTTGTTCTACAACATCTTTAGTGGCTACAATAGATCCACCTTCATGAAAAAACCATGATGTTTTTACTAGTATGAAATTTCTGTATGAGTGGATGGGGGTAGAGAATAATATAATGCTATGCAAGGTTATAAACATACATCTAAGAACTTAAAAATTTGAGAGATTTCCTCTATCCTATTCTCTAAAAGAAAGTTTGGGTGGAAAACAGTTTTTTCTCTGGTCTAATACTACAATCAACACAGAAGACTTCTGTGGCTAAACGTGGGGGATTTTCCTCACACATTGAGCAAGCAATCAACCCTTTGGGTTCCCTCTAATCCAATTCAGTTCTGACACTATCTACCTGGAAATGGCATCAGATCCCACAGGTTGAGGATTCAGTCCCATAAGACTGCTCCCCACTTCCAAAGGCACATGCAAGCCCCAGGTTGTTTTACCTCTGTGCTTCTAAACAAATGGCTATAAATTGGGGTTCCAGTGACCCCTCCTTTGGTTTGACTAATTTGCTAGTGCGGCTCACAGAACACAGGGAAACATATACAAGTTTATTATAAAGAATATTTTTTAAAAATACACACAAAGAGATACATAGGGCAAGGCATGTAGGAAGGGGCATGGAGCTTCCATGTCCTCCCTGGGTGTACTACCCTCTAGGAACCTCCACATGTTCAGCTACCTGAAACCTCTCTGAGACCTGTCCTTTTTGGATTTTATAGAAGTTTCATTATGTAGGTATGATTTATTAAACCATTGGTCATTGGTGATCGACTTAACCTTTAGCCCCTCTCCTCATCCCAGAGTTGTGGGCAGGGGCTGAAAGTCTCAACCCTCCAATCATGCCTTGGTTTTTTTAGTAACCAGCTCCATCCTAAAGCTACCCTAGGGGATGCCAGCTCAACTCATTAGCATATGAATAACATCATTTTGGAGATTCTAAGGATTTTTAGAGGTATATGTCAGGAAATCAAATACGTATTTTACAATATCACAAAAAGACAAATTGAAAACTTTTGAGAAACCCTTAGTAATTTAAGTTAGGGGTGTCATTGGCCTTAACTTCCTTTGATACTAGTGGAGAATATTCATTCTAAGAAGCAAAGTAACTCAAGCATACCTTCAAATCTAATAAATTCTTTTTCATACCATTCAGAACTGATCTTGATTTGTTCTTTATCTTCAGCTGAAGTGACCATGGTATGTGCGTGAGTTTGTTAGCCTGCACCAGTGGTCCATCATGTAGAGGTGGTATTACAGAAAACCCAAAGAACCCTTATTACCTCAATGTTGCCACTACTAGAGGGATCTTTAAGAATGAGGAGAAAGTACTGGCAGCTCCACAAAGAAAACATGACAGAAGCTGTTTTAGAAAGAAAAGCAGCAGCAGTTTCTGTCTTTGTCATCGCTCAGCGAACTATTGGAACAGTGCCTTAAAACACTTTTTGATGGGACACTCTTAAGAAGAGCAAAGTCAGATCTCAGCAGTTAACTTTATCTGTCACTAGGGTCATCTAAAGTAGATTAACCCTGACTACTGGACACTCACATAAATCAATACAATGTGGCCTGGTGTCAACAGTCTTGGGGAATACCTTAAAAAGTTAAAGCCAGCAAAAGGAGTCTTATTAAAGTAAGCACAACAAAACACAAAGTCATTGTCACAAGCTAGAAGGCTTAAAAGTCTAGATGGAAATCTGTTTTTTTCCTCTCCTTAATTTATACTAATAATTCCAAAACTTTTCCTGATGAGAGATGACTTCAATTTCCCTGAAGTTTTATGATCACTAATGGGGAGGAAATGCTAAGTCAAAATAATCACTGGTGGAATGAGGAGTTAAGTTAGCGACAACACTAAGGTCCCATACAGTAAGCAGCCTAGAGGTAAGCTAAGTAACACCTCAGAGGCTGCCAGTCAGTTTAAGACACATATTTACCAAGAACCTGTAATATGTAAGGTGCTGATGATGGAGCCTATGGAACTCACCTGCTGTGCTTCAAAGGGAGCAATGGACAGTTTATTAAATGGGATATGGCAGGAAGACCTTGGCTGCAACACATGCTCACAAGTAGTTCACCTCATTACAACTTAAAAATGTAACACTTTGGGCTTCAGGTAATTCCACTTCTTCCTCAGTTCAGATCTGGTGCTGTCAGAAGCAAAGATGTAGTTGATGGATTCATAAGACAGATCCCACACCTGAGACTGGGTCAAATTAAATGTTTCAGCTGCCAGCTGGTACTCTTGAGAAAGGTGTGTTGTAAAGACACCCTTATCATCCGTCTGCCAATATAAACAAGAATGTTTCAAAGTGGAAAAGGAAATGATTTTTTTAAAAAACTTTTTTCTTTAGATTCTATTTTCCTATATACTATGCTTCTTTCAAGAGTCTAGACAGGGGCCTATAAATGCATCTATGCATATCCATAACTAAACAGACTTGTTTTACTTAAAAAAAAAAAATACCAGAGTAGTGTTTCAACTCTGGTTGTATATTAAAACATCCATGCCCAGAACTCACCCCAGATTAAATAGAGCAAAAATTTCATGGGATGGGTGCTGGGCATCAGTATTTTTTTCTTTTGTGTACCTTCAGGTGCTATAAAGACCTTTTCTTGTAGAGCCAAACCAGAGCCACCTGGTACTCTGTAGCCTCTCATGCTGCAATCCCCCTATAACTCCTCTACTTGGGCATCACCTCAGGCATGCAAGGCAGTCAACTAGGTAGTGAATATCTGACTTAATACAATTCAGAGACTAAAAGGGAACAAAATACTTCATATAAAACACCTTACACAGATCACAGAAGGATGGGCAGTGCTGTACCAGAATCCGAAATGATGCTGATCATAAGATGGAACTGTCTGACTTTTGATGTTTGAGGTCAAACAGAGTTCTAGATGAAAAGGGGGAAAAAAACTCTTACTAAAAGGAGACAAATGAACTCATTCAGTGTTCACCAAATAGACATGTGAAAAGTCTTTCCAAACTTTGTTAATTTGCAGTAGTTTATTATTTTACAAAACTGACCTTTCCTTATGTATGAAAATTTATAGTTCAATTAGTGTGCTGTGCAGGAAATACATGCCACCACTTATGGCAGCAATTTTACCAGGCAAGAAATTAATATTCCCTTCATAGCCATGTGCTTCTGTCTCTTTTATCAAAATGGGGAGGAAAGAGGAATGTTATAAGCCAGTCATGATGACCAAGACAGGGAGTTATCATGACAGGAGCAGAAGAGTTTTTTGAAGGGCTACTCTAATTCCTCCTGCTCTTACAGTGGAGGCCAAAAGAAAGGTAAGAAAACTGTAGCACTCTTTGAGAGTAACAGCATTATGAACAGCTAAGAGTGGAGATGGTCTTTTTCCATGGCTTCCAAGAACACTTACCTGGACAACTATCCATTCACTGCCTGCTGCTTCTAGGTAAATTAAATCCATCTTAGGAATTACTTCTACTATTAACAAATTCCTTCCTTGAAACAGTACTGACATCTCCCACCAGAGTGAAATACTTCACTGACTTGATTGATGGCATCTGGTCATTTGGGTAAGGCAGCAACATAGGGCCACTAAGTCCAATAGATGACAAACCCAAACTGCCCCTTCGCTCTGCTGGGAGCAGAGCTGGGCCACCACACCAAGCAAGATCACTATGCAAGTGGTTTTCATTCTCTCCACTTTTGTGGATATTTAAAAATTTCCTTAGTAAAAAGGAAAAAAATCTCATCTACTATGGATAGCTGAAAACTCTATAAATAGTTAAAAAACACACACTCACACAAGCACTTTTGTAAATCAGTAAATTTAGCAAATTGATCATTCCATAAATGGTTTGCAGTCAATTGCTTCTTTCCCTCTTTAGAAAGGCCTTTCCCAACCATCTCATCAAAAGTGGTTATCTGCAGAAACCCAAATAAAGAGCACAATTCCATTCACAATAGCCACAAAAAAATGAAATACCTCGGCATCTTCCTAACCAGAAACATGAAAGACCTTTACAATGAAAACTACAAAACACTGCTCAAAGAAATCAAAGATGATACAAACAAGTGGGAAAATATTCCATGCTCATGGACTGGAAGAATCAACATTGTGAAGATGTCCATCTTACCTAAGGCAATCTACAGATTTAATGCAATACCCATCAAATTTCCAGCAACATTCTTCTCAGACATAGAAAAAACAATACAGGAATTCATATAGAAACACAAACAACCAAGAATAGCCAGAACAATCCTCAGCAAAAAAAAAACAAAGCAGGTAGTATCACATTACCAGACTTCAAACTTCACTATAAAGCTACAATAATCAAAACAGCGTGGTATTGGTACAGGAACAGGCATATAGACCAATGGAATAGAATTGAGATTCCAGAAGCAAAACCTCAATTTCTCAACCAACTCATCTTCGACAAAGCCTCCACCACCTACCACTGGGGAGAGGAGAACCTATTCAGTAAATGGTGCTGGGAAAACTGGCTGACCACATGCAGAAGATTCAAACAAGACCCCTATCTATCCCCATACACAAAAATGGATTAGAGACCTAAATGTAAAACCTCAAACCATAAGAACGTTAGAAAATGCAGGACAAACCCTTATGGAAATTGGAACTGGCATCCAATTCCTGAGCAGAACCCAAAATCCACAGGCCATAAGAGATACGATAGACAAGTGAGACCTCATTAAACTGACAAGCTTCTGCAAAGCCAAAGGAACCATCAAGAGAGCAGGCAGACAGGCCACAGAGTGGGAAAATTATTTGCCAACTCCAGGTCCGACAAAGGCCTAACATCTTGGATCTACAAGGAACTCAAACATGCTGAAAAGAAAAAAACAAACAACCCCCTTATAAAGTGGGCAAAAGATATGAACAGACACTTCTCAAAGGAAGACATCCAAGCAGCCAACAGACACATGAAAAAATGTTCAACCTCACTAATCCTCAAGGAGATGCAAATCAAAACCATACTGAGATACCACCTAATTACAGTCAGAATGGCAATTATCAATAACTCAAAAAATAAGAGTTGCTTGAGAGGGTGTGGTGAAAAGGGAACACTTCTACACTGTTTGTGGGAGTGTAAACTAGTGTAACCTCTGTGGAAAGTAGTGTGGTGATTCCTAAAAGCTCTAAATATCAGCCTCCCATATGACCCTGCAATCCCCCTACTGGGAATATACCCTGAAGAACTCAAATCACTCTATCAAAAAGATACCTGCACATGAATGTTTATCGCAGCATTGTTCACAATAGCAAGAACCCAACTAACCATGCTGTCCATCAAAAGAGGACTGGATTTTTAAAAATGTGGTACATATACACGATGGAATACTATGCAGCCATAAAAAAGAACAAAATCATGAATTTCACAGCAACCTGGATGGAACTAGAGTCTATAATACTGAGTGATCTCTCACAGAAACAAAGATTTGAGTATCACATGTTCTCACTCATATAGTGGACCTTAAACATCTTACCATAATACTATAAGAAAAGGACTGACAGTGGTGGGAAACTAAGGGGGGGTAGGGAGGGGAAGGGAGGTGGGACTAACAGTAGTCAATATCTGTCGGGGGATGGGGAGACACCCCTTATTAACAAGGGTGTGTGAACGATGCACATTTGTATATCTAACCCTTAATTGTACCCCACAATTTTATAATAAAAAATATGTTTTAAAAAAAAGTCGTTATCTGATCACCATTACATCAATCTGTTTAATTTTCTCCATATAACACTAACATTTTCTGGTATATTTGTTTACTATTTTCCCTCTGCTAGAATATGAGTTCCTTGAGAAAATTCTTGTCTGTTGTGTTTATTGTTATATCCCCAGCAATTACAGTAGTAAATTACAACAAAGTAGGCACTTCATAAACATGCAGATAATCAAGTGTGTAATGGTCAACAGACATGTAAAAATATACTTGGGATTTTCCATAATTCTTAATGTTTAAATAAATGTTAATGAAATGTAAATGAAATAAATGCTCATAACACATGTGGATTTTGTTAAAGTCATTTCAAAATTCTCGATGATGCCTATCCTTTAAAAACTACTTACTGAGTTCCAAGCACTGAGGAATATAACAGCAAACAAGACAGGCCAGGCCATGCTCTCCCACAGCTTATATATATATATATATATATATATATATATATATATATTTTTTTTTTTTTTTTTTTTTTTTTTTTTTTGAGTTGGAGTCTCACTCTGTCGCCCAGACTGGAGTGCAGTGGCCGCTCCCAGCCACCGCAGCCTCAACGTGCTGGGCTCCAGCGATCCTTCTGCCTCAGCCTTCCAAGCAGCCAGAACTACAGGCGTGCACTACCATGCCTGGCTAATTTTTTATTTATTGTAGAGCTGAGGTCTCGCCAAGTTTCCCAGGCAGGTCTTGAACCCGCGGGCTCAGGTAATCCACTCACCTCAGCCTCCCAAAGGCGCGGGATTACAGGCTGAGTCACCGAGCCCGGCATCCATAGCTTATATTCTAATAAGAACTAAAACATTCTGTTAGTTAATGAGGCTCAGAAAGCACATACACCATGCATATTTTAATTTCTAGATAACACTCATATTAGTAATTCTCTACATATGGGTTGCAACCTGGGAACTGGGAGAGGAAAGGACAGAGGGTTGTCCAGGCAACCTAAAACTAAGGCTTACCCAGTGGTATCCGGTGCTGCCTCACAAAGTCTACCAGATGCGGGGATTCTCCCTCACAGGAGCTGAGAAATGTTCCATGCCCGATTCTGTCAGGAAGCAGATCCAAGAGTATCTGTGTTTCTTTTTTTTGGCCCGGAATCTTAACAAAAGAGAGAAAAGGGGATAGTTGACCTCTTTCAGTGGCTCTTAAAAGTATTTTTTCTATAGCCAGGTACCCTGTCCCTCTGAGTAGTAGTAATGAAGATATTCTGGAAAGCTGAACTATTTAGGCCTTCCTAGCTCTCTTATTTGCTTTTTCTCATTCATTCCTCAATATTCTTCTAGATTCATTTCAGTGATAATAATAAACACTTATGAAGAACCTACTTTGTGCTTTTTTACACAAACCCTTTAGGGTCTCAAGGCTCACGCATGTAACACCAGCACTTTGGCAGGCTGAGGGAGAGAGGGTTGCTTGAGCCCAAGAGTTCAAAACTAGCCTGGGTAATATAGTAAGATCTCATTGCTACAAAAAAACAGAAGATAGCTGGGAGTGGGGCACATGCCTGTAATTCCACCTACTTGGGAGGCTGAGATGAAAGGATCACCTGAGCCCAGGAAGTCAAGGCTGTGGTGAGCTGTGATTTGACTGTGCCACTGAACTCCAGCCTGGACAACAGAGTGAGACCCCAACTCAAAAAAAAAAAAAGAAGGAAAGACAATCCATATAAAAGTAGAAATTAAGACATTGGAGGCTGGGCTCAGTGGCTCAGCCTGTAATCCCAGCACTTTGGGAGGCCAAGGCGAGTGAACTGCCCGAGCCTACAGGTTCAAGACCCACCTGAGCAACTTGGCAAGACCTTGTCTCTACAATAAATCAAAAATTAGCTGGGCATGGTAGTGTGTGCCTGTAGTTCCGGCTACTTGGAACGCTGAGGCGGAAGGATTGCTGGAGCCCAGCAGGCCAAAGCTGCGGTGACTGGGAGCATGCCACTGCACTCCAGTCTGGGCGACAGAGTGAGATTCCAACTCAAAAAAAATAAATAAATAAATTAAAGTAGAATAAAAGCTAAACTTGGTTAAAAAAAATTCTTTACAAAGTAGTAGGACGAAATTAAAGCTTAGCAAATTAAGCAATTCTCAAAAAACAAAATCTACAACTTTATATGCATATGTGTCTCTGTGTTGTGTAGATGTGTTCATATATATCAAAAAAGTTCCAAAGAAACAAACACAAAACTGTTGTAATAGTATTAACTCTGGGGAACAGAACTGAAATAGAAAGGGAACTTTTCATTTTTAATTTTTTTCCCTTCCACATTACATTTCTCTACACTTTGATTTTCTTCAGGTACTTACAACTTTTATCATTAAAAATACAAAGCAAGCTGGGCACAGTGGCTCACGCCTATAATCCCAGCACTTTGGAAGGTTGAGACAGGAGGACTGCTTGAGCCCAAGAGTTTGAGATCAGCCTGGGCAACATAGGGAGACCTCACCTCTACAAAAAAAACCCAAACAAATTAAGTGAACGTGGTGATACATGCCTGTAGTACCAGCTACTCGGGAGGCTTAGGTAGAAGGATTGCCTGAGCCCAGGAGGTTGAGGCTGAGGCGAGCTGTGACTGCGCCACTGTACTCAGCCTGGGTGACAGAGTAAGACCATGACTCAAATATATATATATACACACATATAGTTTTGAATATACACACACACACACATATATGAAACTTTTTTTTTTAATTGTCCAAGGTCATAGAGCTAGTAAATGGTAGAGATGAGAGTGAAACATAGCTCAGTCTGACTCCAGGGTCCAGACACTTTGCACATATAGTGTGCTCAGGTTTTATTCTGACAAGACTGGCTACACACCTACCATAATCACCATGAAAGTGTCTGCCTGTGATCTTTATCTCCTAGATATCCCAAAATTCAAATGACCAGAACATTTTGAAATAAAATGTTTTGTATCCAATGGAGTACACAAACACAACAGAAACTAAGGCAAAAAGCAGGTTCTGCTGTTGTGCACAGGGCCAGAGATAACTAGTTACAGTCACACATGCCGTTTTACTGTTTCTATCACACATCAGTTAGGTCAGCTATAGGATGTCTTAAAAGTGAAAGGATAAACAATTATAATTTTAATTAAAATCCCAGGAAATAAAAAAATGAGTGAAATGATTTTTTATTAGAGTATGGAAACATGGACTCTAGAATTTACGTTCTGCCACAGATTACTGACCCTCTGCTTGTAGACATGAAAGATACAAGTACTTCCAACTTTTCTCTATTTAAATCATAATGCTACTCAACCTTTTATACATTACTCCTTTAATATTCATAACTCTGTGAAGTAAGTAAACTAAGTATTATTTCTTGTACTTAAGAAACAATTAAGTAGGCAAAAGTACTGAGGTAGATAAGTAAATCCATCTTTGCTTGCTCAAACAATCCTCTCACCTCAACCTCCTAAAGTGCTGGGATTACAGACATGAGCCACTATGCCCAGCTAGTAAATTCATCTTTAAAATGGGAAAAAGTACACTAGAGTTCTCTGTTTGCCTCACAAGGATGGTCTTAAGAAAGTGACCATTTTCCAGCCATTATCTGTGCTCATGCTGCCAGGGAGCTAGGGCTGAAGAGAGGCACTGGATCTCCTTGCTGAGCCTTAAGAAACAACAATGAGCTACTTCCTTTATTGTCAGTGCATGTGATACATTTGGGTTCCTTCCACTATGAGGACAGGTAAGATGAACTGGTGTTTTTCTCTGAGTCAGCTTGACAAAGACAAGACTGATATATTTTCTTTAGCGAGATGTCATTAAGCTGTTTTTAATAACACAGCTGGAATTCACATCCACAGCTACCCCAGGAGCCAAAAAAAGATATAAACAGTAACACTAGAGACTAAAGCAGGTCATGCCTTTATCATTTTAATTTACATTTTAAAATATTTCTAATTTTCCCTGTTAAAAATGTTTTTCCATTCTAGGTTTATTTTTGGTGACTTACAAATGACTCATTATTTTCTATTATAATCTGTCTTCTCCAGCTTAAGACAATGTTATTTACCTCAGAAAGATGCAATGCCAACTTCAGACCTGCTTTTTTAGCTTCTAAAAGAGGTTCCACAAAGTCTTTTGCTTGTCCTACCTTAAAGATAAAAGTTAAAATGAGGATGGATGAACGTTCTGGGCAAACTGAGGAAATGAATATTCTGACCCAATAAACGAAATAACAGTAGAAAAAAATAATGGTAGATTGATTCATTTGCACATCTTGTTTATAAAGTACCTACAGTGTGCTACACTTTGCAGAATATAAAATGGGCAAAGGCACAGTCCCTGACCCAGAGAATCTTAAGTCTAGTATCAGTGAACTGAGGTCAGTCAGCTAAGCTAGATGTAACAGTCACAAAATTTTATTTCTGAAAGGACACCTAGATAGCCAGTGCTAAGCACTCACCTGATTCAGGAAGCTTCATGATTACTATATTAAATGGATGGATGAAAAGAAAGGCAGAATAGTCCAGGCTTAGACAAAACCATAGGAACTGGTTTCATGGGATGCTCTCATTCAGTGGTTTTCAACCAGGGGCATTTCTGCTCCCCAGGGAACATTTGGCAATATCTGGAGACACGTTAGGGTGTCACTTCTGGGAGAGTGCTACTGGCATCTAGTGGGTGGAGGCCGGGATGCTGTTAAACAGCCTACAATGCACAGAACAGTCCCCACAACAAAGAATTATCTGGTCCAAAATGCCAAAATGGCTGATATTCAAGTCGCTCAGCACAATCTTTCTTAATTACCTATGTGATAATTAAGCTCTGATGCCCAAAGACATCCATCCATTGTATGTAATGAATTAACTTTCTCTCCTGTGCATATAGATAGGTACTAGCTATCACCATCCTTACAATGGAGAAAACAGTCATATAGTCAGGCAAACCATTTTTTTTAAGGATGCTTACTTCTTTCATAGAACCCTGCTTGAGAACAGTTCATCCAGGGCAGAACAGGGCTTCTTTCAGTGTCTGGTGGACACTCTGGAGAGTATAGTATGTTCTAAGCTAATCTTTATCCCACTGATTCTACCTTTTAGAATTAAAATGTATAAAGAAAAAATAACTTACAGTAGGGTCTCCACTGAGATCAAGGCCAAGAACTGTATTCTCAGTAGAGAGGAAGAACTCTTCAGCAAGTTTAACAGTCTCCTTAGCTACTGAAGGGCCACCTCTTCTGTCAATTGCTATCAAATACCTTTATCATAAGAAAAACACTGTTGAAAACTAATACAATGCAGATGAAAAGGCAATTCTGAATATGGGCAGAGAGGCATGCAGACTACATGTAATAATCTTACTTGGAAAAGTTTAGGCCAGAGGTCCCCAACCCCCAGGGCACCAGTTGAGTCTAGGCCAGAGGTCCCCAACCCCCTGGGTACCAGTTTGTGTCCTCTTAGGAACCAGGTTGCACAATAGGAGGTGAGTGGTGGGTGAGTGAAGCTTCATCTGTATTTACAACTGCTCCCCATCACTCACATTACCACCTGAGCTCCGCCTCCTGTCAGATCAGCAGAGGCATTAGATTCTCATAGGAGAGTGAACCCTATTGTGAACTGTGCATGTGAGGGATCTAGGTTACACACTCCTTATGAGAATCTAATGCCTCATGATCCCCCCTCCCTTCCATCCATGGAAAAATTATCTTTCACGAAACCAGTCCCTGATGCCAAAAAGGCTGGACACCACTAGTCTAGGTACTGACATTTTACTTTGCCAGATGGAAAGAAACATCAATTCCTAAAATAGCAGCACATACCTAGTCAGTGTTCAAATTTCCAATTGTCTCATGTATTTTTTTGTTGTTCATTTTTTTTTTTTTTTTTTTGCAGCGAGTCTGATTCAGGATCCAAATAAGGTCCACATTTTGTTTAAGTCAATGTATCTCCTACATTTCTTTTAATCTACAGCTACTCTTTCCTCTCCTCTTCCCACTTCAGCCCTGTCCCACTTCTTTTCTTGCAATTTATTTGTTGAAGAAACCAGGTTGTTTGCCCTACAAAGTTTCCTGCAGTCTGGATTTTGTTGATTGTATCCCTGTGTTGGTAACATGTTCTACCATCTCTTGTATTTCCTATAAATAGATTATTGAATCTCTTCTAGAAGCTTTATCAGATCAGATTCAATTTTTTGGTAAGAGTAAATTGGTGGTAGTGGGTTCTTAGGAGGTTTAAATCCATTATTTCATTAGGGACTACAAAATTGGTAATATTCTAAATTGAAAATGTAACAAATATCTGATACAAATTCACTTTTCATATATTAGCTGAAATTTCATAGGACTTGAATATCCAGAGAACTCTCGCTAATATTGTTTAATTCCTCCAGCATTTATTAGTTTACTTATTTATTCACAAAATAAAGAAATTCCTTCAGCATTTGTTCATTTATTTCTTTGCAAAATTTGGATCAACTATATTTAAAATGAAGTGTCTTTTTTTTCACTTAACAACTTCCCATGCCATTAAATAATGTTAGGAAACAGGTCGGGCGCGGTGGCTCAAGCCTATAATCCCAGCACTTTGGGAGGCCTAGGCAAGAGGATTGCCTAAACTCAGGGGTTCAAGACCAGCCTGGGCAACTTGGTGAGACCTCGTCTCTACAATAAATCAAAAAATAAGCTGAGCGTGGTAGCACACACCTGTAGTTCCAGTTACTTGGAAGGCTGAGGCAGAAGGATTGCCTGAGCCCAGCAGGTCGAGGCTGAGGTGGCCATGAGCGTGCCACTACACTCCAGTCTGGGCGACAGAGTGAGACTCCGACTCAAAAAAAAAATGTATACATCATATAAACATACCATAATGGAATTGTCCTTTGATTGCTCAACACTTTAGGATGTTTTCTATTTTCTGTTATAAATAACATTATAATAAAGAATTTTATACATAACTCAATCTACTTCTTAGGATACATTTGTAGAAGAAAATTACTGGGTCAGAGAGTACAACATTTTATAAATCTTGATACATATTACTCTTTAGAGAGGTTTCTGTTTTTTGTTTTTTTGAGTTGGGGTCTCACTCTGTCACCCAGACTGGAGTACAATGGCACAATCACGGCTTACCACAGCCTCGACCTCCTGGGCTCAAGCAGTTCTCCCTCCTTATCCTTCCATGTAGATAGAACTACAGGCACATGCCACCACACTTAATAATAATAATTTTTATTATTATTATTATTTTGCAGAGACAAAGTCTCTTTATGTTGTCCAGGTTGGTCTCAGAATCCTGGGCTCAAGCAATTCTCCTGCCTCAGCCTCCCAAAGTGTTGAGATTATAGGCATGAGCCACTGTGCCTGGCCAGAGGTTTTATTAATTACATATGCTTACTTAGCAGTGTGTAACTTCACAAACACTGGTTACTATTTTTTTTTAACCTATTGAAACATCACTGTAATATTTCTTTTTACAATTATCTGGATAATGAGGTAAAATCATTTTCTATACTGTATATTTGTGTACGTCTTCTTTTCTGCATTCTGTTCTTGTTTTCTGCTTAGCTTTTTATTGGAGTATTAGTCTAATTAAGCTCAATTTTCAGAGATTCTTATAGCCTGAACCTATATAGCTAGTTCTTTCTTTCTTCACTCAAGGCCTTACTGAGCTCCTGTTAAGTGCCAACTTTATTCTATGTACTGAAGATGCAGTGGTGAATCAAAACACAAGGTCCCTGGTTTCGCTGAACTTACACTCTAGTAGGTAGGTGTATATAGAAAATAACACAAGACAATTCTTTATCTTATTATAAAAGGATGCCATAACGGAAATAGATGGGAGACTAGAGAATTGGAGGGGGCACTTTAGATAGAGTGGCCTCATTCTAAAGGAAGTGACAACCCAACTGAGAACTTAAGAATGAGAAGAAGCCAACTGTACAAAGATCTGGTAGAAGTATGTTCTGGAAAAAGTCACAGGAAGTGCTGTTCGGAGGTGCTGAGGTGGGTCTTGCCTATTTAGGAATAGATGGCAGGCCCGTGTATAATAAGGGAGGAAGAGTGGTCTAATAAGCTATGGAAGTAAAAGAAGCTACCAGATCATGTGGGAACTTGTAGGACACAGTAAGAAGCTCATTTTAGATTAACAGCAAAGGGATGCCATACTTCACTCAAGTAAAAAGATTCCAAATTTTATTGCCACGTGAATAAATTCAGAATTGTATTCTCACCTTAAACAACAGTGTTCTTGATTTTGTTTGTCTGTTGCAGACAGAAACCAATTACTGGTTAATTTTTTAAAATCCATTATACCCATGATCAAAACAGTAAAAATTTCACATTCTGGTTTTTCAAATGGTAACTACTAAGGTACAATCGTCTTACCTAACATCAATGTCTAAGTTTTCTTGTTTGGACTGTTTTATACCTTCAAGTATAGATTCCACATAAGTCTTTTTAGTCATTCCTGGAAAGGACATGTAGAAAATATATGTCAAAGTATTATCAAATATTTCTCCATCAACTTTAGAATTCCTATATGAACAATTCCATTTTTACTTTATGCCATGATAAGAGACTGGTTAAAGATGAGTAAAACATAGCCCTTATGGGTTCATTTTAGTAAATGCAAATTATTATTTTAATAAAACTGAAAAAAATGAAGTACCAAAATAATGAAAGAAAAAAACAAAAGGACAAACAGTATAAAGCCCATTTAAAAATTATTCTTAGATTCAATAGACATGAAATCACTGACAAATGGCTATAATAAGAAGAAACCCTTTTCGAAGGCATGTCCTTAAAAACATACACACACAGCATTTTCTCTCTTAACAGGCTGTTTTTCTGTTGGTCCAGAAAAAAAATTATAACTTGGGTTCCTTTCCCCTCTGTCCTATTCAGGGTTAGTGTTTCTCCTCCAGGAAACCAGAGAGACTCTTCCAAGTTTGAGTTTTCAAGTCTTTCTCTTCTAGGGGGCTCTGCAAGAGTACTCTCCAGAACAACATCCTCTAAAATACCTTTAACCCTGATTTTCAAATGCTTGCTTCTGGTAGAAAAATCTCCAAAACACAAAAAATTATAAATAAAAACAAAAATAACCTGTAATCTCACCACCCAAAGATAACTACATAACTACTGTCTTTGTTTCTTTAAGTATACATATATACATTTTTAAATGGATGAGATACTACTAGGTATACATGTACCCAGTTCAGTCATTTAACACTGTAGTCTGAGGATTTCTCCATATCAATTAAAGTGTCCTTGCAAATATTTTTAATGGTTGCCTAATACTCCATTTACCTTTATTTAGCCATTCCCCTACTGTTGCAAGTTATATCCTTATTTTGAATTCCCATTTGAAGAGCAAACTAGCTCCACTAATTGGCAGGTTTCTTCTCTCCTTCCTTACCTATACTCACCAGCATAACTTGGAACCTATTCTACAGCTTAAAAATGTGAAAGAAAATTTTTTTCCCATGGACTGCTGCCCCAGGAACTCCATCTTGCTGCCACTAACACCACCAAAATCACATTTAAACACTTACTTAACATTAATAGTTCCAAATTTTTACCTTGGAATGATTACAGACTACACACATCAGGGTACAAGATGACCTAGCTATCTCTGGGTCATAGACAAGTGCTTAGAGTATTTAGCCAATGACACTAAATAGTATTTCCTAATGTTGCTCTTATAGGAGGGTTCCAGCAAATTCCTCCAGACCATATCCAGATTCACTCTTTCCATCCAGAGAGGTTACACCACATCACAACTTGCTCCTGGCCTACGAAACTATCAGTTCCTAAGGAGTGACTGAATAACCTACATTTCAGTAACTGCCATAAAACATGATTCTGTATGTACTCAGTGGTATCATCACACAAGTGCCCTTGATGCAGCAAGCAAGAATCAGCCTCTGCTCGTGACAATGCAACTATCAGGAGCAAGTATCCTTTCCTCAGACTGAAAAAAACTAAACAAGGAAGAATACAAATTTTTTTCAGGACTTTTCCCTCCCTTAAACAGACAATACCGAATTTTATACATTTTACTTAAGAATAACTCACTTGTGAATAATGTACATTATTAATATACATCAGAGGATTTGAACTGCTGACTCAAGGTCAAAGTCCCATGAAAACAGAAAGTACAGCACTATAGAAGTTAGTGCTTCATACTCCCAACTTGCAAAATGTGAATGATCAAAGTACACAGGAAAAAGGACAGTATATTCACTGAGAAGTATAATTTTACCAGTAGCATTTTCTCTTCTGGGTGTGCTTCTTAATTCCAGGTACTTGACACCATCATCTGCAAATTCTTTAATGACATCTTTTGTGACCTGATAGCAAAGGTAATGTTCACAATATTGATAATGTTAGTATAAGGGTTCCAGTAAAAGTGCTGTAGCTTATTTCATTTAATAATTTGATTTGCAAGAATTGGGCTGGGCATGGTGGCTCACACCTGTAATCCCAGCACTTTGGGAGACCAAGGCAAGTGGATTGCTTGAGCCCAGGAATCCCAGACAAGCCTAAGCAACATAGTAAGACCTCGATACACACACACACACACACACACACACACACACACACACACACACACACACACACAGAAAAATGTTGGAAGTTTCTCACATGGTAGATATTACCTGCTTTGTCACATCCCTGATGGAGACCATGACAGAGCAGCAATATTTCCAATAGCTCCCATCTCCCCTCATTTTCACATTAAATCCAGATCTGCACATCAACCACACCTTTTGGTTTTTTTCCCCTTTTATTTTTATTTTTTGTTTGTTTTTAGAGACAGTCTTGCTCCATCACCCAGTATGGAGTGCACCGGCGCAATTGTAGCCTCGAACTCCTGGCCTCAAGTGATCCTCCCACCTTGGTCTTCTAAAGTGCTAGGATTACACATGTGAGCCACCACACCTGGCCTCTGTACCCCCTTTTGGTCATTTCTCTATTTCCTAGTAGTCATAATAGCAGACTGATAAAACAGAGAAATGAGACAAAACTAAAACCAGCTGGAATCATCTATGTGCATATATGTACTAGAAAATGTACATACAGAATAAACAGCTAAGATTATTAGACATTATTGATGTGCTATTTATTGTTTTTTGTTTTGTTTTGTTTTCTGAGTTGGAAAACAACTCAGGCTGGAGTGCCCAGGCTGGAGTGCCGTGGCATACTCAACTACCCAAGGCCCCCTTTTTCTAGTTGGTTAGGTATCTGTAAAACCAAATGAACAATAAGAAGGCTGCTAGCAAATACAGAATAAGAGCAAATGGAGGAAGACTTACCTATGATATAGTAAGGCTTGGGGGATCATCCCTAACCCACACCTAAGAACCCTTCCCTAGGGTCCACACCTGCATCTGCCAGATTTAGCCCTTTCCATAATGTGCATGCAGTAGGTGCCAAGGGCAACTCTTTGCTCTTTGGACTTCCTCTCCTATACTCTGGATTGAGAATATCTATTTAAATTCCTTTTGAGTTCAGTTCCTGCTTTCTCAAAGGGCTGTAAGGCTGCATAGGAAAGAGCATGAGCTCTGAAACCAGATAGTCACTTCTGCCACTTAACTGTGTATGTGATCTTAAACAAATTACACTTAACCTCTTTAAGCCTGTTTTTTTCATCTGCAAAAAAGGAGCAATAAAAATACCTAATTCAGAAAGTAGTTCTGAGAATAATGTCTGGTACATGTAATAGCAAATATCATTTTTTCAGTCACATTCCAATCCTGTCTCTTGGAGTATACCCATCTTGATTAGAGTTTTAAGTGATCACCCGACACTCAGTTCCACAGCTACGAACAATCTCTTAGCTTACTCTCACAGATGTTTCATCTATAATATGGGGCACCTCACTGTCATCCTCTGAAGCACCTATAGGTACTCATCCATGTAGCCTTAAGTCAAATGTACAAAATCTTTATTTCTCACCACATTTACTAGAGCTTTTCAACTCTCATTTTGAAGTGAATGTAGTAATGAGTATAGCATTTTTATACCCCTGGAGTATTAAGTGCTCAGAATTTAAAATTTCATCATTTTGTTCCATTAACACTCAACAACGTGAGAGACCAGAGTCCCTGTGGTGGACATTCCTGACAGTGTTCAATGGTATCTGCTGAGTGGCTGATGAGAAGATAGAGAATATACCCTTCTGGATCCCTAAATCCTTATGCATGTCTCTAACACAGAGCTTAGTACATTATATTGTACTGCTGTGCTTATGAGTCTGTCTCTCCAATTTAATGATAAATTCCTAAGGAGCTGGAACTGTATCTATCTCTTCTTCTATCTCCAAAACTTTAGCACAGTGCCTGGAACACACAGTAGGCACTCAGTCACCTTTAATTGAACTAAACTATTAGGGATAACTTTCCTCTAAGAGGTGATTAATTTACTTACTACTTATCATGAGGATCAGTCTTGACCAAGGCAGAACATTTTTTTTCTTGATCAGTCAAAAGTTACTTCTCCAGAAACACAAGTTATATTAACTTTGCATTTTTTTCTAATGGTTAAGAACACTGACAAGATTTTGCTTCTATTTACAAAGACGTTTTAAAATGTCATCCTAGTCAGATCAGTAATAAGAGATCAGTCTTCCTCGTCAGACTCTAGCAGCATGGAGCTTCAGATAAAAGAACACAGTGGTATCCTTTGTGCCCCGTAGAGAAGGTGCAAATTCCCTAGGGATTAATCACTTAATCTCTAAACACTTCTTGATCTCCTTCATTCTCTATAATGTCTACCCTAGCAGTTAAAAGTCTCCTATTAATATAGACAAAGCCTTATGAAGGACATCCCCATATGTAATCAAATATGTCACATATATTATATATACATGAAAAATAAGACCAAATTTTCTCCTCCATATTGTCCTCTATCCAATAGAAGATGCTCATATCTTTTACAACAAATGCAGTCTTTTTATATTAGCTCCTAGGCAAATGTGTTACATTTGGTTTTGAAAAGTTGTCATAAAAAAAAAGAAAGCCTTTTTCATCAGACTCTTAATGAAAGCATAAATAAAAGGTCATGTGCAACAACATAGGGATATAAATTACTTCATAAGTTCTAACAATTCCTTCATGTCTCACCATTAGAATATCTTCAGGGCTAGTAGTAAGCTGATGAATAGTTTGAAACATCTGGAAACATCTGCAACATGAATGAAAAGTTTTAACATAATCTAGTCATTAAAAACTTGTTGCTCAATAGAAACTAAGCTGAATTAGCCAATTTTAGCTAATAGTAAATACTATATATTTATATTTACAAATAACTACAGAATAGGTGTTTAAAAAATTCAAAAATCTTTCCAAATCAGAAAGATAATCAAATGACTGGAAATAAAACATGACTAATATTTTCAAGTAAGAAACAGTAGTTCCTCTTTTCCAACCCCACCGCTGATCCAGGGAGATATTCAATATGCCTATATTTTCAAGTTTAAAGACTATCCCAATACAATATAACTTCACAAACAACACAAATCACTAACAATACCGTCAACAGTCTGACAGTTTGAAAAAATGCTGCATGTTAAGTTATATGCTCCATGCCAGATGACTATCCTATTCCTTTTAGTTGCTTTTTTTTTTTTTTTTGAGTTGGAGTCTCTGTCGCCCAGACTGGAATGCACTGGCACCAGCCTCAACTTGCTGGGATCCGGTGATCCTTCCGCTTCAGCCTTCCAAGTAGCTGGAACTACAGGTACACAATGCCATACCCGGCAAATTTTTTGGATTATTGTAGAGATGAGGTCTTGCCAAGTTGCCCAGGTGGATCTTGAACCCGCGGGCCCAGGCAATTCACTCACCTCGGCCTCCCAAAGCATGGGAACACAGGCTGAGCCACCGAGCCCAGCCTATTACTTTTAACTCTGAATTCTTACATTTACTTATAATCTCAAAATACTGAGAAAAAAAGAAGTATGTCCACAACCTCCCCAAACTCACTCTTCTAAAGTTCTTTTCTTTCCCTTGTCAATCATAGTCATCTGATCATGGACTTTAAGATCTGGCTTCTTGGCTATTAGTTTCTTCATGGTATTAGAACTAATGGATCCATTCAAGTGGGCATGAAGTTCCTAAGACAAGAGAATACAATCAGTAAAACTTACCAAGTAACTGATAGATTCATAGCATCATACAGGTTCTTTTCTGATTTGTACCAGGCAAATTACTTTATTAGATTTAGCTATATAACTTTTAAAGTTTACAAATTTAAGAAAGTTTAATTCTGTGAAAAGAAACAACATAAAAGTCATTATAATTAGCAACCACTCAAGAATTCTGTAGTTGAATTCTCACCACTTTTGGCAATTCTGAGTAAAAGTCTGTCTTCCATGGCTGTTGTTCTTCTTCTGCCTCCATACTGATTTTAGCAGGAAAAAATGGTCCTTCACCACTTTTATTCTTGGTATGAATAAGAACGATGTATTTCAGTCAGTAAATTCTGCAGTCCTGAATTTCCTTCAGATTGCTTTATTTCCACACATTTTAATAAGATTAGTTGTATAGGTAGCTCTGGGTCCAGCTTCACCTATTTTAACAAATGTATTTTCAGATGTTGACATAAAAGCAATGCTAATTTATTCTTCACAAGGAAAAAGCCCTTCCAAGGCTAACTTAAGTGTGTCTGAAGTGGGAAAATGATTAGTAAACAATCTAAACTAGAAATAGGAAAAGTGCTCAAGCTTTTAAGAGGTACATTAAAGCCTGCAATTCAGTACAGTATATTCCTTTCCTATTGGCACCTTCTATGAAACTACTTCAAAAATTAGAAATTTATAAGGTCTATTTTGGATAAAAATAAAATTTACATTTTTCAATTGTTTAAAATATATAAACAGCAGAGGTGCTAGAGTCAAATGGACCCAGGTTCATCTTTTTACTAGTTCTGCAGGTTAGTAGCTGTGCAGCCTTAGTCACTTACCCTCATGGCTTTGGTTTATTTGTAAAAACGGGGAAAAAATGTGGAGTTAGCTGGGCGTGGTAGCGCATGCCTGTAGTTCCGGTTACTTGGAAGGCTGAGGCGAAGGATAGCCTGAGCCCAGCTGGTCGAGGCTGCGGTGGCCGTGAGTGGGCCACTGCACCTCAGGCCAGGCGACAGAGTGAGACTCCAACTCAAAAAAAAAAAAAAAATGCAGAGTAGTAAAGAATAAAGTGGATTAATAAAGTGATGTAAATTCCCTCTTCTATGCTCCCTTATATGTCAGTGACTCCCTTTAATTCAGCAACTAACTAATTATATGATTTACTTGTCTTTCTCCCTCTTAGACAGTAACTCTCCTGAGGACAGGTCCTGTTGATTATGCTAGCACCCATCACAGTGCCTGGCACACTGTAGGTGATAAATCCTAATTTCCCTTCACCTCTGAAAGTGGCTTATAAATTAAGATAAAATTCCAAATGAAATTTAGTAATTTTCAAAGTAGCCACCTTGACCCTTTGGGTTCTCACATATTAATGACGGTGATATTGGTAAGAATAACAGTTCCCATGTATTTAACTCTGACCAGAAATGTGACATTTTTAATAATATCATGTTTAATTCTCACAATATCCTTACAAAATATTATTACCACATTACAAATCAATAAATTGATACTGAGCAGGGTTAAATAAGTTACCAAGATATTAAAATGTGCAATAAAGAAAATAGTTTATACAGAGCCATAGAAACCCACAGAAAGGTCAACTCAGTATGAGATAAAAGTGGGATTTCAATGTAATGCCATAGTAGATGTTTAATAGATAGTAACAAATGAAAAAGGCAGACTACACTATTTAATCAATGGCATTTAGTATCGCTAACTGAAAAATATAAAAGACATCATTAACATGGAAATATACATTTATTCTTGCATAGTAGTCAGTTTATCATAAGTTGACTTATAAAGTAAGTGCTAATCAAAGTATTTCTAAAATTATTCCTTAAAAATTTGTTTTAAAGTTCATGTGGAAGACTTAACTTATAAAAATATCCAACAAAAATTCTGAATCTCAGAAGAAAATACCCAATATTGGTAAAGGTATGAGTAAAAGCTTTGTTAGGAGAACTTGATATGACATTTTTGGAAAACAATTTGGCAATATCTATCAGTTTTTTGGGGGTTTTTTTGAGTTGGAATCTCACTCTGTCGCACAGGCTGGAGTGTCATAGCACACTCACGGCCACCTCAGTGTCGACCTGCTGGACTCTGGCGATCCTTCCACCTCAGCCTTACAAGTAGCTGGAACTACAGGCGTGCATTACCATGCCTGGCTAATTTTTGACTTATTGTAGAGATGAGGTCTTGCCAAGTTGCCCGGGTGGGTCTCGAACCCATGGGCTCAGGCAATCCACTCACCTTGGCCTCCCAAAGTGCTGGGATTACAGGCTGAGTCACCAAGCCCGGCCTTTCTTTTTTTTTTATTTATTGTAGAGACAAGGTCTTGCCAAGTCGCCCAGGCTGGTCTCGAACCCGCGGGCTTAAGCAATCCACTCGCCTTGGCCTCCCAAAGTGCTGGGATTACAGGCTGAGCCACCAAGTCCGGTCTCAATATTTTTTAAAAGCCATATATTTTTGATTCAACAATTCTACTTTTAGGAATTTATTCTATATCTTATAAGATACATACAAATATATTTCTTATAAGATTGTTTATAACAGCAAAAACCTGGAAGTAACCTAAATGCTATTAGTAGAGTACTAATGATATATTCATCCAAGTGAATATCTATTACTGTATCAAAAGATGTATATAATAGTGTGAATTTCAAAAAGAAATATACTACTTAGAAAGATGACATTCATGAACAAAACATATATATGTATGTATATATATACACACTCATATACATATATACACGTTTGCATATATTGTTATGCCTAAAACATATAAGAAAGGATATATAGAAAACTGTTAACCACTAGAAAGTGGATTGAATGGGAAAGGTTAAAGGAGAGTATTTTACCTTATGTACTTTTGTGCAATTTGAAGGCTTTACAACAGCACGGACTATTTGATTATTGCTATAATAATTTTTAAAACAGTCTATTCAAAAACAGCTTTATGATTATGAACTGAAAGGGGTAAGTACTTTTATGTTTAGGCAACAGAATAACAGCCTAAAAAGGCACTCAGGACATTTTACATAACAGGCCTATAACAAATCTGGCAAGAGGCTAGTTTTTCATAGACATTTTCAATTGTACTCCAGGATCCTGATCTTATTTTGTGCCCCATTCAAACCATTGTCCAGACTGACCTTTAACTAGCTGTGAGTAAATTTATTAACCCACTTGGCTACATTATGGAAATTTGAAAGTCACCAAAATACGCACAATCTTTACAAATTAAAAAAAAAATTGTTGTTCCTTGCCTAAGATGCTGCTACCAACAATACCACGCCCTGGCAAATCCAACCTTCCTGGGCCAGAAGCTGGGGTGGGGGTGAGAGGCCAAAAAGCAACAAACACTAGGATAAGATCTTGATTTCATCAAGCAAGAGCAGGACCAGACCAAGTCTCTTGTCTCCCAGGGAACTTTATGTATGCTCTCTCCCAATTTCCCCAAAAAGGAACTCAGAATAATATTTGTTATTATTTATTATGTACTTATTATGAGCCAGACACTATGCTAAGTGTGTCTTAGATGGTTATTTTATTTCAATCCTCGCAACAAGCCGGGTGCAATACCTCATGCCTATAATCCCAGCACCTTGCGAGGCAGAAGTGAGAGGGTTGCCTGAGCCCATGGTGGCCAGCCTGGGCAACATGGTGAGACCTCATCTCTACAATGAAGCAAAAATTAAGCTGGGCATAGTGTCGCACGCCTGTGGTTCCAACTACTTGAAAGGCTGAAGCAGAAGGATCACCTGAGCCCAGCAGGTCGAGGCTGCCGTGGCCATGAGTGTGCCACTGCACTCCAGCCTGGGCGACAGAGTGAGACTCTGACCAAAAAAAAAAAAATCGTCACAACAACCCATGAGGTATTAGTATTCCCATTTTACATAAGAATAAACTGAGATTTATTTATTTGTCTATCTATTTATTTATTTTGAGTTGGAGTCGTACTCTGTCACCCAGACTGGAGTGTAGTGGCACACTCCCAGCTGCCTCGACGTGCTGGGCTCCGGCGATCCTTCTGCCTCAGCCTTCCAAGTAACTGGAACTACAGGCATGTGCTACCACACCTGGCTAATTTATTTATTGTAGAGACAAGGTTTCATCAAGTTGCCGGGATGGGTCTCGAACCCGCAGGCTCAGGCAATCCACTCGCCTCGGCCTCCCAAAGTGCTGGGATTACAGGCTGAGCCACCGAGCCCAGCCATAAACTAAGATTTTTAAAAATATATTTTTAGGGCATCCAAATCATAAATTTTGTTCCATTATATTTCTTTTGAATCACTTTACTTGATCTGCTCTTTAAAACTAACATCTACATTGTACTAACTTGTCATTAAATAAATTCATTTCAACAGCGTTACATTCTTTCCAAAGTCCTCTGACTCTTTTTATTCCTATTTGTCTCTCAATCAACCCTGAGATATCTCACAAAACAGCACTAAATCTCATTATAGAGATGAGGATTCAAAGACCTAACAAGCTTAGTCCTTTTCTTAGTTCTTTCAGAGCCAATTCCAAACTCAAGTATTCCATCAGATACAATAGTCTTAACACTAAACTGACAACCCTGCTGCCAACTTTACAGAGAAAAAACAGATGCCATCAAGCACGAATTCCTTCTCTTTCTCTTTGCACAATCTCCCACCTAAGCGTACCTTTATCCATATCCTTTTTTTCCTCATGAGTCAGAGAAAAGGAATTCATTCTCCTATCCCCAAACTAATATGTGCCCAGGATCCCACTCTTCCACTCTATTCCGGTCGTTTCTCTACCAGTGAGTTATCTTCTCATTTTTCTGTTTCTTCAACATCTCCCTCTCCACTGGCTAATTTCCCTCAGGGGACCAACATGCAGGTACAGTATTTACTTCCACCTGAAAACAAAATAAAAAACTCTTTATCTCACATTCTTCATTAGCTACTGCCCTGTCTCTCTTTTCCTTCTGAGCTAAGCTCCTTGAAAGTTACAACCAAAGTAAGTGACTGAGGCAGGTGTTTTAATCAATGCAGGTTTACTGAGCCACCTTGAGGGCACATAGCAAAAGGCAAGTCACAGATGGATCTGTGGCTGTTTTTTCCAAAAAGTTTCTCGGAAGGCTTAGTATTTATACATTTCTCTTTAAAAAGGAGAGGGCAAGGGAGCAGCAGGTGGATGGTTCCATACTTTCGAGATTTCAATCCACATTTTCCATAAGACTAACACTTGAAGAAGAGGGAACATAGAAAGAGAACCATCAGATGTCTCAGGGAAGGGTGAAGGATCCATTAACCTCATTTTGTCTTTGTTCTGTAGCTGGCAAGATAAACTAGCAACCAATATTATCAGTGTGTAGTCCTTTGAAAGAGTTGGTTTCTCTTTTCGAACTCATGCCCTTAAGGAAGAAAGTCTAATGACAGTTATCGAGGGAGAGGATATAATGAGGTGTGTCCAACTTCCTATCCTGTTCATGGCCATCGAGAACTCAACTTCCAAGCTAAGAATTCTTGGCCTGGGATCCTTGGACAAGAAGGAGTTTGTTCAGTCAGTTGGGGGGCTTATTATTTTATTTTTACTTCTCAAAAGTGTTATTTAGACTATTAGATGCCTCCATCAACTCACCTCCTATTCACTGAAACATGGATTCTGCCCTCACTGCTCCATAGAAACTACTCTCCCTAAGGTCATTAATAAGCTTTTAAACACCAGATCTAAATGACATTTTTCAATGATCTGTTTCCTAATCCAAACATTTTCTTTTATATATATATATATATATATATATATATATATATTGTTTGTTTGTTTTAGTTACAGTCTCGTTCTGTCTCCCAGGCCGGAGTGCAGTGGCATGCTCACAGCTCATCGCAGCCTCAAATTTCCTGGGCTCAGGTGATCCTTCTGCCTTAGCCTCCTGAGTAGCTGTAACTACAGGCATTCACTAACACACCTGGCTAATTTTTTTATTTTTTATTTTTTGTAGAGACAAGTCTTGCTATGTTGCCTAGGATGGTCTCAAATTCCTGGGCTCAAGCAATCCTCTCGCTTCAGCCTCCCAAAGTGCTAGGATTACAGGTGTGAAACTTTGCACCTGGCTTTCTTATTATTTTTTTATTTCTTTTTTTTTTCCACAAGAAAACATCAGCAAGGACCAAACTTTTTCTTGATTCCGGTATCCAAATCTGCTGGATTCCAAAATTCATGCTCTTAACAATTATGCAATATTACTTTAAGTTAACTATAAAGTCAACCTGGTTTCCTTCTCTATTTCAGCCTGTCACCAAATCCCAATTAATAAATTGTAAAGGCCGGGCGCCGTGGCTCAAGCCTATAATCCCAGCACTTTGGGAGGCCGAGGCGAGAGGATCGCCTGAGCCCACGGGTTTGAGACCAGCCTGGGCGACATGGTGAGACCTCGTCTCTACAATACATCAAAAAATCAGCCGGGCATGGTAGCGCGCGCCTGTAGTTTCGGCTACTTGGAAGGCTGAGGTGGAAGGATCGCCGGAGCCCAGCGGGTGGAGGCTGCGGGAGCCGGGAGAGTGCCACTGCACTCCTGCCTGGGCGACAGAGTGAGACTCCAACTCAAATGCATACATACATACATACATACATACATACATACATACACACATAGTAAATTTCCTAAATGTCTCTGGAAGTGGTTTCTTATGAATTACTCTTATACACCCAATTTAGAAACCTTATGATTATTCTGAATTCCAACTTGGATTTACTCCTTAAAAACAAATCTTAAAACATATCAAAGAAAAAAAAAACATACCACAGGGAATAATTCTCTCTTCTGACTCCCTCTTCCGCGGACATATTCAACACTACTTCAGAATTTTCCAAGTTGGGGAAAGTGTCATTTTAAAGATGAGAAACAGAGACTAAGTGGTTTACTCACTGCCAGCATAACACAGGGCTGGGAATACAAGGGGAACAATGGTATCTGTATGTATCTGTGGAGAGATGTTTATTGAAAATATCTAGAAATTATTTGGAAAGGGCGGTTTCTTCACTTTGCACCTGGCCTCACAGACTTGTTTTCAGATTTAAATGGGTTCTGTTTTGCAACGACGAGAGCATTAAATAAGTCAGCAACTATTATTAGTTATCATCCAAGGAAGCTAACTAATCCTTGCCCACTAAAGATCCATGGTGCTGACCCTTATTTGCCCATACCAGATCCTTCCTTCGTCGTATCCAAAGAAGTCAGGTCGTCAGTTCCCAGACTCACCTCTTAGAGATTCCTCAACTATGAGGACCTAGACAAGCTGTCTCTTCACACTGAAAGGCTTGTAGAAAAGTGACAACGCGCGCTCCCCTAATACACATGTCACAGCAGTAGCGGGCCGTGTTCCCGGGAAAACGTAATCCCAGGGAATCAAAGAAAGGTCAATCGCAGTCGAATTTAATACAAGCCACACCCTCCTCAATTTTGATTGGCTACGCACATTATTCCGGAAGTGACGCAGCGACCGCGGAAGGGGAAGTCAAGGTGGAGGGATGACTTTTCCCTATTAAGATCCGTGAAGCGTACGCTGTACGAACGCAGGAGTGGCTCACAACGGTAACGTACTTCCGTTTCTGAGTCTCTCTTGGCTATGGGCCCACGGAACCGCGAGCGTCGGGCGGAAGCTGTTCAAAGCACCAACGACAGCAGCGCACTCAGCAAGAGTTCCCTAGCCGCGCGCGGGTACGTGCAGGACGCCTTTGCGGCGTTGCTGGTTCCGGGGGCCGCGCGCCGCGCGCCGCTCATTCACCGAGGCTACTACGTCCGCGCACGCGCCGTCAGGCACTGCGTGCGCGCTTTCCTGGGGTGGGCGTGCACCTCCCCAGGCGCACCTCCAGCGCAGATCTTGTCTCTTGGCGCCGGCTCGGATTCGCTGTACTTTCGCCTCAAAGCTGCGGGCAGCCTGGCCGGGGCTGCGGTTTGGGAGGTGGATTTTCCGGAGGTGGCGCGGCGCAAAGCAGAGAGGATTGCAGAGACGCCGGAACTGTGTGCGTTGACCGGGTCTTTCCAGAGGGTCAATCCCGCGTCAGCGCTGTACTTTGAGAGCGTGGATTACCACATCCTGGGCCTGGACCTGCGGCAGCTCCAGCGATTGGACGAGGCCCTGGTCGCCGCGGGCCTTCAGGCCGCCTCACCCACTCTGCTCCTGGCTGAGGCCGTGCTGACCTACCTCGAGCCGGATAGTGCTGGGGCCCTCATCGCTTGGGCAGCCCAGCGTTTTCCTAATGCCCTTTTCGTGGTCTACGAGCAGATGAGGCCTCAAGACGCCTTCGGCCAGTTCATGCTGCAGCATTTTCGGCAGCTAAATTCTCCCCTGCACGGCCTGGACCGCTTTCCTGACGTGGAGGCCCAGCGGTGTCGCTTCCTTCAAGCTGGCTGGACTGCCTGCAGTGCTGTGGACATGAATGAATTCTATCGCAGCTTTCTCCCCGCAGAAGAACGCCGGCGGATGGAAAATCTTGAACCCTTTGACGAGTTTGAGGAGTGGCATCTGAAATGCGCCCATTATTTCATTTTGGCAGCTTCTAGGGGAGACACCCTCTCCCAAGCCCTGGTGTTTTCTTCCTCAGAGGCATTTCCCCGTGTAAATCCTGCTTCCCCTTCAGGGGTCTTCCCTGCCAGCGTAATCACTAGTGACAGTCAGGGCCCAACCCTGAAGCGATATGGCCATGCCTCTGTACTCTTGAGCCCGGACACTATCGTCAGTGCAGGAGGTTTTGGAGAGCAGGAGGGACAGCACTGCCGAGTTACCAAGTTTCACTTGCTGTCAAGAGATTGTGACTTTGAATGGAAAAGCAGCCAAATATACAGCAATAGGACTGGAGTTCAGTGGGATGGACGCCTTTATCACACCATGACAAGACTTTCAGATACTCAGGTTCTGGTTTTGGGAGGGAGACTGTCCCCAATGAGTTCAGCCTTGGAGGTTCTACAACTTCATTTTTGTAAGAGTAAGCATAATAGCACTGAAGACCTGAATGTGACAGTGACAAAGACTGATGCAAAAGAAGGTTTCACGTTGTCATGTTGGAGGCATTCAACAACCGAAGTGTCCTATCAGAATCAGAAATATTTGTTTGTATACGGAGGTCGAAGTGTGATAGAACCTGTACTAAGTGACTGGCATTTCCTACATGTAGGGTCAATGGCTTGGGTCAGGATACCAGTGGAGGGAAAAGCACCTGAAGCTCGGCATTCCCACAGTGCCTGCAGTTGGCAAGGGGGAGCCCTAATTGCTGGAGGTCTGGGGACTTCTGAGAAGCCATTGAACTCTGTACTCTTTCTGAGACCGGTCTCTTGTGGATTCTTCTGGGAGTCAATAGACATCCAGCCTACCATTACCCCAAGGTACTCCCACACAGCTCATGTGCTCAATGGAAAGCTTCTACTGGTTGGAGGGGTCTGGATTCATTCCTCCTCAGTTCCTGGAGTGACTGTTGTCAATTTGACTACTGGATTAAGCTCTGAGTATCAGATTGACACAACATGTGTGCCATGGCCATTAATGTTACACAATCATACCAGTACCCTTCTTCCTGAGGAGCAAAAGCTCCTGCTCCTTGGAGGTGGTGGGAACTGCTTTTCCTTTGGCACCTACTTCAACCCCCATACAGTGGCATTAGATCTTTCTTCCTTAAGTGTTGAGCAGAAAGAACTGGACTCTTAATGTATTTAGGATCCACTAAAGTAGACAATAAAGGTTTCCACAAACAAAACTTGATCTAGTTACTCCCTTCTTTTCCCCCTTAGCACTATTCAGTACAGAAAGTGGAAAAGGTTGTTAAAATACATACAAACAAGCAGAAGTGGTACAAAATAAAACAGCTGCAGACAATGGCCATACAGTCCTAGAGTAGGGGGCCTTTGGATTCATGTATCCAGGTTATGGGTCTTCCTCTAATTGTCTAATCTAAGTTTATCTATTTATTGAATTACAGTGGCCTTTAACCTAAATCAAATAAAAAACTTCCCAATCCTAGGCCTTGTGATTTGAAATAGTACCTTGGACAAAGTTAAACATAGATTCTTGGTTGAATATAGTTGAAAGAACATGATATGGGCCTTGCTCTTTGTGTATGAAACCTGAAATGAGCACAGCTGTAGTTTGATAAAAGCATTGTGCTCTTTAGGACAACAGAGAACTCTGGTATAGCTTTAACAACAAGAATCATTTGTAGTACTTGATTTAAAGACATGCTCATGATCAATTTTTTGCTGTTGATTCCATTTTTATTAAGATTTATTTATAAGTGCCAATAAACCAAACGTTTGAGGCCTCAATGCATTTGTACATGGTATATTAATGTTCTAGATCTCTCCACCCTCACAATGTCTTTTCCCCAGAAGGCTGACCTTTATGAGCTGCTTCAATGAGCTCTCTTGTCCTTTAGTTTTTGGTTGAGTTCCATCAATCAGAGGCACCAGAGGGGAATGGGTGCAAGAAAAGTAAGGCAGGATATTTATTCCCAGCTTTTCACTTGTCCGTCTGCTGGTTGGCCGTGGCAGCGTTATTCTGTCAAAGGCTATATAGCTCCTCTTGTGTAGTCCTATGAAATTGAGCTCAAATTCTGTGACACTCTAGGTTTCAGTGATTGTTTCTTTTCCTTACTTACCTCTTTAGGCCTAGGAGTTATAACAACTCTTTGCTAAACCTGAGCTGTACTGTCTACTATAGTAGCTAATGGCAACATATGGCTATTTAAATACATTAAGAATAAATAATTCAGTGGCTTAGTCACATTAACCATAAATTAAATCCTCAGTAGCTATGTGTGTCGAATGGCTACTGTATTAGACAATGCAGATATAGGACATTGATTGCAGAAAGATCTATTGGACACCACTGAGGTATTTTACAATCTTGGTGTTGTTTCCCTTAGTCCTGTTCACCCCCTTATAGTTGGTATCCATTAAGCTCCTTTATTCCCTTCAAGTGGACGTGTTTCCTGGTTAACCTTGCAAGATCAATGAGATAGTTACTCATTCTTAAAAATTGAGTCTTGTCATCTAAAATAAGCATACCTTGTGAAGTTCACATCTTAAAAGATAGTAGTAGCTTTGGTGGTACTAAATGTACCACTTTAGTATTTATTTTTGGTCCTCAGTTCTGAAAACCTTAGTAGTACCTTGAGATTCTATAATGATTATTTATTTTTATTTTTTATTTTTTTGAGTTGGAGTCTTACTCTGTCACCCAGACTGGAGTGCAGTGGCCGCGCAGCCTCGACCTGCCGGGCTCCGGCGATCCTTCCGCCTCAGCCTTCCAAGTAGCCAGAATTACAGGCACGCGCTACCACGCCCGGCTAATTTTTTGATTTATTGTAGAGATGAGGTCTCGCCTGCCCAGGTGGGTCTCGAACCCGTGGGCTCAGGCAATCTACTCACCTCAGCCTCCCAAAGGCGCGGGATTACAGGCTGAGCCACTGAGCCCAGCTTCTATAATGATTATAATGATTATTATTTCCTATGTTAACATCTTGATGCACTTAGTATGGCACAGAATCCTTTTTCTCTTTTTATTAGCTTTGTATATAAATGAATGTGATTAATATAAACACTGAGTAGGAAATGCAACACTGAGTAGGATAATGTTGGCTCCATTAGTGACGGCTCCCAGGAGAAGACAAACTGTATAAAAGGTTGATGTCTACCTTCAGCTTTCCTGAGACTTTATAAGAGCCCTTTCTAGGGAAGTCATTGGTTATGGCTATGAGAGAATCCTGGGAAACAAGGGCTAGGCAGGCATCTGGCAATACTATTAATGGGCCAAGTACTAGATACTGGCGGAAGTATGATCAGCAGGGGGAAAATGTTGTTGTGTATTTCCTGTTTCTAAGTCCGCCATGGCCTACTTCAACTTTAGGAACAGATCAAAGCAGACTACTATGATGAAATGAGTGTTCTCATTTCAGATAGTACTAAAATTCCTACCTGAAAGCCCATTATGCTACTGCTGAAATCTTGTCAACCATTATTAGCTCATTGCCTTTTGAGAAGAAAGAGGGGGAGAGGTCATTAAGAGAATGTGAATGTATGCCAGACCTAAATTAATAGTGTAGTAGTACCTATTCTCTTAGCACTGCCCAGGATGGTACATTATGAGTAAGTGGGCTTGTTCTCCCGGGAGAAACTACCCACATTTTCTGTAAGTAATTACCAGATTAAGCATGCCCTCCACCTCTAACCATGTATATGCATCATGCTCAGTTAAGGAATTACTCATCTCTCAAGCTCTACTCATTAGAGTACTTAGAAGTTTTGTCAGCAACATTTGCTCTGTGCCTTTGGAGCAGTGCTCGGTATGGACTGGTGCTGGGTCACAGTTTAATTAACAGTAATCTACAGCAGTTGGAAATGTGGGCCAGATTGAGAACTAAAGTTGCACAATAATTTTTGCCTTTCCATTTCACCCTTGAACATTTTCACTCTAAAATTCTGGAATGGAGCTCTGGGGGTAGTTATGAGAATTAATGAATAGGTCCCTTCCTCTTAATGTATCTCTAGACTAGGTAAACTAGTTAAGGAAGGAAAAGAGTTTCTTACTTTGAATCTCTACTCTGGGTCAGCGTCTCAAAAACAATGTATCAGCTGGGATCTGTGGCTCAGCCTGTAATCTGGACACTTTGGGAGGCCAAGGTGAGTGTATTGTCTGAGTTCATGGGTTCAAGACCAGCCCGGGCAGCTTGGCAAGACCTCATCTCTATAATAAATAAATTTTTTAAAAAATTAGCCAGGTGTAGTTCCTGTAGTTCCTGCTACTTGGAAGGCTGAGGCAGAAGGACCACCAGAGCCCAGTAGGTTGTGCCACTGCACTCAAGCCTGGGCGATGGAGTGAGACTCCAACTCAAAAACAAAAACAGTGTATCATACTAGAGGTGATATGAAAACAAGTTTCTAGGATATGTTCTTCAAAGGCCAGTGCTGTCACTTCTTTGTGTACTTTCTGAGTTTTACAACTGAATGTCCATTTTTCATGTTTCTGGGCCTTTAATCCTTCTTAGTGATCTTAGGGAGGTGATATATCTGTGAAATATTCCAGGGCCCAGGCATTTCCTTGGTCTTCTCCTTAGGTGATCTCAAACCTTGAAGTCTTTGTTTATTCCATATGCATCTTTAATTTCAAACCCAACTGCAAGCAACCTGTGACTACTCTGGGATTCATCCCACATGGCATCTTCTGGAAAACAGCCCCATATGGCAGCTCCCAGATGTAACCAACCATTCTTTGCCTGTATGAGAGAAGCCTGTGCTCTGGAGAGTTTGGTGAATAAAAGAAGTAGTTAATACGGTGGGTTCTTAATCATAGGGACCATCCAATAATGTCTGGTTTGACATTAAGCCTAAACTAAGCTTTTTGACTTCAATAATGAAGAAGGGGACACACAAAAAATTAGGGTGACAAGTTAAGTCATTAATTCTGGCTAATCACATTAGGCTTGATGTTTATAGAGAGAAGGAGAATATGTAGAGCAGGAAATATGAAACTTAAAATGAGCTACAGAGTAGGCTGAGAGTTCCTTGGATGTCAGTAATTATGTAGTAAACAAAAGAGTTCTGTTATTTCACAGTTTAGTTATAAGACTGCTCATTTATCTGTCTTGGACATTGATATAAAGCAGTTGGTTGGGAAGGGGCAGTTTCTTGACTGATGGAAGGAATAGTGTCTGTCTGGTTCACTTCTCTATTCCCAGCATAGTAGATTTTTAATAAATACTTGGATTGAGGCCCACTCTGGCACTCAAATGCAGTATATTTCAATATTTCTATAGTGTTTACCATGCAGAAACAAATATCAATAATTCTTGTGATGACTTGTGTGAGTGTGAGTAAGCATTATTGCTTTATTTATTTATTTTTGAGTTGGAGTCTCACTCTGTCACCCAGACTGGAGTGCAGTGGCCGCTCACAGCCACTGCAACCTCGACCTCCTGGGCTCCGGCAATCCTTCTGCCTCAGCCTTCCAAGTAGCTGGAACTACAGGCGCGTGCTACTACGCCCGGCTAATTTTTTTTTAATTTATTATAGAGATGAGGTCTTGCCAAGTTGCCCAGGCGGGTCTTGAACCCGCAGGCTCAGGCAATCCACTCACCTCAGCCTCCCAAAACGCTGGGATTACAGGCTGAGCCACCAAGCCCAGCCGCATTATTGTTTTAAAGAACCCTCTCTTCTGTTTGTCAACCGCCTTGACCTGGATAAAGGTGGTAGACTTCCTTCTGTCATTCCTAGCTTTATAGAATAGACATTAACCGTCTCAATAGAAACATATTATTTGGAGATGAAATGAATTAACTGCCAAAAGGCTAATCTGAGCAAGTAGGAACATGCAATTAAATGTACTTGTATGCACATACACATAGGATCTTCCTAGGATGTTGTGATACTTCACTGGGCATGACTTTCAAAGTAAGTTTAATAGAGGAAGAGGAAAGACCTTGCCCTAATTTTTATGTAAAAAGTCATTAGTCATCTAATTGGCAGACTAAGGCAAGGATATAAATTGTATTAAGAATGATTTTTAGGACATTACAGTCTTCAGGGGATCTAGGTTTGTTCAGTTTTTTAATAAAAGGACGTTACACAACATTTTGTTTTTCTCATTCCCTAGTCTTTATCCACATTTTTAGGCTTTCCATTAGAACCCCAACCTCTGATTCATATTTAGATTTATTACTTCACAAAGAGTTCGCAAACCTGAACTTTCTTGTTCGTGGACACT